CCTGAACGCCATTTTCGGAACGGACAACACCGGATATGAAGATACCATGGGACGAGATGGACTGGGAGAGAGAAACGGAAGTGGGGAGTGATTTGTGAATTTATGTGCATCCAACAAATTGTTTATAGGCGGCAAAATATTTCCACACAAATGCATACACTAAGCTACATGGGTCTTACCGGATCGCACCACGAAGTATCAGATATATCACATTTGCACCCGTAAAAAACTCACAAGGTCAATGGAAGATGTGAAAACCAGGAGAGGAGCTGGCCACCACCCGGTTGGAGTCAAGATGGAACTGAAGCTGAAAAACATTGGACAACTGTGGAAACAGCATTACAAAGGTTCAATAAAGCCTCCCTTTGAGATTATTATTATTATTAATGGCTTTATTCAATATTATATTTCTGTACAATATAGAATTCTCAGCACAGGGTATTTCAACAAGTTTTTTACACAAGAAACAGAAACAAAGACAAAAAAGGAAAAAAGATTTTAAAATTTTTAAAAAGCCTTACAACTTTTCAAATTAGAGACATGTTAAGAATGCAAGTTATTGACTAGATTAACTCTGACAACCTGTTCGTCACAGAGTTTATTTGCTAGGTAAGGTATTATAGGACTTTTATACTTTTGCTTGAGTGTATGGGTTTTAATGTAATTACGTCTCGTTCTGCCAGAAGATATACAAAGAGAAAGATAAGAGTGAAGGGGATGGTAAAATAAAACTTGCCAGGAGTTTGCATGACTTTAGATGTCTATCCACAAACATATTAATTATGACCTCGAAAGATTCACCATACACCTTGCTAACTGCCTTCAGCACTCTCCACAATACAGCAGTTTTTTCTCAAAAGTCCGAGAAAGAATAATGGAGAACAGTAAAGAATAATAGGTAATATGCAAGAATTGACAAATTGTAAGATTAAATGACGAGTAATCCCAAGAGCAAGGTAACACCAAGATAAATGACCTTCGATACCGTGTTTATCAAAGTCTCCAATGGTACAAGCATTATGGGATCTCAAAATGGTGTTTAGATGCCGTTCATGTCTCATGCTAAATTTTACAGCTTTACACTTAGACGGATCAAGTATAAGACCAGTACCAACAGATCAACAACCAATACGAGACAAAAACTCACTCATTCCTATGAGATACTGACAAACTCAACGAATTCAGGATAACTCTCAAAAACAGCTTCCAAGCCTTACAGGATCTACTGAAAGAAGAAGGAACTGCTATGGAGGACAACTGGCAAGGGACCAAAGAAGCATAAACTTCAACGTGCCAGGATGTGCTGCGTCGCAAGGAGCATAGGACATACATTGGGAAAATCATCAAACTGCATGATTAAGAAAGCACTAACTTGGAATCCTGAAGGCAAACGGGAAAAAAGGAAGACAAAAGAACACAATGAGCCGGGAATTGGAAGTAAACATGAAAAGGGTGAGTAGCAACTAGAAAGAACTGGAGAAAATTGCCCACGACAGAGTTTGATGGAAAATCCTGGTGGGTGGATTATGCTCCCCACGAGGAGTAACAGGGGTAAGTCAATAAATAAGATTGAGACTGCACGAAACCCCTATGCTACTCTGTTCTTGGATTTTCGCACAAGAAAGTCTGAAGTTTCTCAAGTTTTGCCGAAGTCCTGAATATAATCAACCGGAGATCACAAACCTTTACTAATATACGTGTGTAGTCAAAACAGTAATGATCACAACGAGAAAAAAGCAATGGAAACAATGGAGAAATCCTTACTTAAATCGAGAAACTAAGTCGTTTAAAAGTAAAGTAAATGAAATAAGTTCGACGTTATCTCCAACATTAATTTTTGGGTTATATTAAAGCCATGCCAAGTGCTTAAGGCTCCGTAACTGACTAAACTGAAGTGTACAAATAGTATTCTATACTTCCACCTGTAAATCCCAAATTATTAACTGACAATCTTCATCCACAAACGTAGTGAAAAAAGTGGAAACACTCAACGACCACGAAACTCCAGTAAATCAGAATATTTCGATAACTAAAACTAATTATTTGATGTTGCAGAGGAAACTCACGAGACGGCTAGTTTATGTGCGTTCGTTGTTTGATAAAATCACTACTTAGGGAGAAAAATTAGTTCCAGTACAATAATTTTTCTAGGGAGCCATCTGTCGACCAACAACGGGAAGTTTCCAGTTATATGAGAGATATGTGGACGGCTGCGAATTTAATTAAAATCTGGAGGAGTGTCTAGTAAAATAAACTGGTACTGGAATTAAGAACGAATTAGGATTTACAGAAAAGGCCACATACCTCCATAGAATAATCAATATATAGAAACTTTACTTGGAATAACTAGGATAAAACCTTTTAAAGTCATATCTCTTTGGGTAAGAAGAGTGACTTAATTCGACTTCTTCCTAGGTCATCAGACGAATATGGAGTGACAATACAATAGATGATAAACTAGCTGAATCCCTTCAGATACTCAACAAAAGTGGTCATCTTGTTTGGTTCGCTAACTCGATGAAACATATTCGTACATTAGCTCCAGGAAATTTTAGAAAACTTTACGAAAAACGCATTGCTGACTCCACAGGTTGCACCGTGGTCATTTTCATAAATAAACAGAATGATTCGGGGAATGATATCCAAGCGTGGTATGACGAAAGTCCTACATCATCACTAGTGAAAGACGTTAACGAATCCAAAGTATTTTCTGACTGTTTTGACGAAATACATACACCGTAAACTCTCCTCAGAGCATCGGTCAAATAGTTTAAGCTGCCATATGAGTACAACTACCATTGAAGAAATAAACATTCTTGAACTACAAAGTAAACTTGATATAGAAAAATCAGTTGACTCAAACGAAATTTATCCTAAGCTACCGATAGAGCGCAAGTCCTTTGTGGCAAGACATTCGACGTTAATAATATCTTACTAGTTTTTTAGTATCGCAGTGAAGCTGGTTTAACCTAAAAAATTTTAAGCACCCAACATACGCAGCTTGTTACCTCGCCTTTTGATGAAGTCCCACATAAAAGACTAGCATACAAGTTTAACAATATCGAAATCAGAAGAAATTTACTTCTGTGAGTAAACAACTTTCAACTTGAACATAAACAAAGGGCACTACAAGGTGTCTGACCATGAAACAGTATAGAGGGACGGCAACCAGGGTACATTTCTAGAATCAGCGTCATTTCTTTTATGCGCATACGACCATTTTAGTTTTGTGTCATCATCGATCTCGTTATGTTAGAAAATAATCTAAACAACAAAATATCGACCAAACGATGAAAATACTATTTTTTTACAGTCACTGGTCACCCAGTACACAGGGATTCTAGTTAGTAAAAGGCTTCCGGTTACTCAAACATGACAAAATGTCAATCAGATAAACTGAAACTGTAAACGAGTTTTTCATTAGTGACGAATAAGACTGTTACCATTATAATGAATATTTACATACGCAAGAAAAACTAATCTCTTATTTGATCTAAAATCATACTGTTTGTAGATCTGTCACCAACATAAATGTGAACATAAATGTGAAAATCTACTCATAAACTAGTTCACACTAAAGTAGTGTTTAGAGTTTTTGAGAAATATTTTGGTATTAATTAGTTTAACACTCAATAACGCTATTCAAAATATGCTATGTACTTTAGTTCTTAAAAAACAGGACTCAGAAAGGAAGCAAAAACTTAGAGTTCTAAGGGTTAAAGATTTTCATTATACAAAGATAATCCTATAACGAAATAACAAGGATTCCCAATATTTTAGATAATTATACGCTTATGATAAGTCAAAATCAAGGGAAACATGTATAGTCAAAATAAAAAAGGGATTTAGATTGGACAGAAATATTACTGATAGTTAGGCAAATGTTTTCGACCAAGAAGCTGGCAAGTAATAACAGAACCTAAAAAATTAATTGTAATAAATATGCAAACAGTTCAAATGCATCTGATTTACATTTTGTATACCAACGTTAAATATTTTCAGTAATCTTGTCCAATAGCATCACTGTAAAAAATCGAAATTTAGTAAAAACACTTAGATTGCAGAGGCCTTTTAAAATCATAAACGCATTTTTGGGGAAACAAAACAGGTCACTTTAAAAAAGACCATAATTTGAATACTAAGGTGTGATTTCGGACTTATTCCGGCGTAATGCATACAGAATCCTGAAGTTATCAAAAGATTACTGTATCCAAAGTTTTCACTTTGATCCAATCGAGGACGTGATCAAAATGTATTACATAAGACTTATTTGTTTGAAAGTAATTGAAAATTGACCATTGTTTCATACATATTTTGAATAGTTTAAGTATAATGCTTCTCATACAAGAGTGGGTTTTCATTTGTAAATTATCAAATTGATACGACTTAAATCATCCAAATGTACATACTTAAGTATCAAAATAGTACGACCATAAATAAAAATTGAAAAGAAAGGCTATATCAATAAGAAAACCAGCTCATGAATTGAAACATGTTCAAAGTTATAAAGATTCAATTATTTAAGACAGTACTATTAAGGTCAAATTTGACACTACAACCATACACTCTGGTTCGAAAGTTCGACATGATAGGTCAAACGAGCATACTTACAAAAGCCAAGGTATATTTATCATCCAGTGTAAACTGTCTTAGCAAAAATAATTAATCCTTGACGAATAACCTGTAGCATTTTCAGAAAAAATTAAATGTCATTTAGTCTTGACTGGATTCCACTATAGTTTAGACCTACTATACACTATAACAATATGAGAAATCAGGACATGATGCTTGATATTTGCGTATCGATCCCAATCGCTACTTTTATTTGTATCTAAGCAACAATTGCACCAATTGATTGATATTTTTCATGAAAGCTATTCAACAACGTTTGAGTTGCCGATTAGTGATTTAAACGGGATTCAGCACAGTCTTATTAAGAAAATGAATAAAAAGTTCAAATATAAACATATAATACATAAAACATGGTAATAATCTTGTACCTTAAATCCAAAACTCGAAGTTGATCACCCTTTCGTGCGCTAACTTCCTCTGATGTATGAGCTTCATAGTCAAAAATGGCAACGTGATAGTATTCACTGTTATGGGAGTTTTCTTGTGTAAGAGGGTAGAACTTCTTCGAATTAATACATGGACCAACCGAACCCAAACTAAGACGACTGGATGAGCCAGCACTTGGAGGAAAATAAGGCTGATGAACAAGATAACGAGTTGAAAGACCACCAACGGAAGAATGATGATCTGAACTACCATTTTCCATAAAAATTGTTGCAGCAGTGCTAACTGTTCCTCCATTTTGCTCAAGATTCTTCAGACGATTGGAGTCAACAACAACAGATGATCTATACGGTTTGTCCGATTTGTGAGTCCCTGAATCGATTGTGAGTGGGGATTCCATTGCGCTTCGAGTGACACTTGCACAGCCACTTCGAGAATACCTGTTGCCAACCAAGAAAGGCATAATATTCAACGAGGAATGTTGTTGTAAATGCGAATGTGATTGTACATGGATATTACTCCGATGTGGTGAACTTAATTTCTGCATAGTAATCTCATCTGATGGCTTACTTGAGGAAACGCACCAGTGAACAGGACTCACAGGATGCTTATTATCTAAGTAATCGAAATTCGCACTGTTTCGTACGCCAGAATGATGAACCCTCATATCTCTTGTCATCTGCTCTAAAGCCAATCTCGGAAAGTGAAAGCTACTAGAAAGTACTGTTTCCTGAAGACCTTCAGTGCAATGGCTTCCTGCGAAAACATTGACAAGAGAAGTTTTCGGAGTAGATAGATTGGACTTGCTCCCAAAAGACAAATCTCTCCCAGTAGAAAATCTCTCGCGAGTCACGCTGGATGAAAATTTTTCATGCTCTTTTGTTATTCCGAGTTCATTTATTAATCCGTCTTCGTGAATTACTTTTAAGGAATTAGATTTGAAACTATCACACAAGTCCATAGGTTGAGAACTTGTTCTCACGACATATTTGGAGGTCTCACACGGATTATGCAACGCATTAACATCGCTACTTTGTTCTGTAGAAGGAGGAGAGACGTGCTTTCCTGCACAATTACCCATTAAATGCTACATATGTCATATCGAACAAAAAATCTGAAAATGTGCTCATTTCTGACCTTCGAAAGACTAATATTTTTGAGTATAGAAACAAAACACCATAATAATGAGCCAATCATTAACTTAAATACTCTTCTTGACGTCAGAAAAGCTTTCAGTAAAATGTAAGCATCCTCTGATATTATCTTTGCTGCACCGCAGCTGCCGTTATCAGTTAGATCGGAATAATTTTAAGGTGATACAATTTTATGTAAGTTGAATCGAAACAATTAATGCATTCAAACTTCTCAATACGACGTCACCCATCACCCATTTATTTCACAGCAAAGGAATCCGAGTAAAATAGTTTGAAAAATAAAGAGAGCAGAAAGGAAATAAAAGACGGGATTAAAATGGGAATGGACTAATCCATTGAAATTAGTGATAGTCATAACGGCAGTAAACATTATTGTGAAGATGTGAGAAGAAACATGGGACGTTAAACGTAAATCCGGAAATCAAGCCGTGTTTTCGACGTATTTTTCCTTTCGAACATCCTCCACCATTCAGGATAGAAACGTTTAATTCTTCAGTAAGTGTGGAATATCTCCCCCCCACCCGCTTTTGAAATACTTTAACAAGTAAACTGTAATCACATAGGACATGGTTGCATATTATCTGTCAGACATTCACCATTTGACCGAAGACTCTTATGATCCACAAAAATCGGACAAAAATAAATATATTCGAATCTGACAGCTCAAAGACAAAGAAGTGAGAAACAACGACGATTGAATGGATGAAATTGTTTTATCGTACCTATTGTTTGATATAACTTACACCAAGTCGGAAGACCGATAACTGAATGTCGATTCCATCGAATCATTTAATTGAGGAACAATCGTGGCGTAATGTAAATGTACAATCCGACGTGGAGAACCTGTGTCGGTCGGATTCTAAAATGGGAATATAACTCATTGGGGGTTTATTTTTAAAAAACCATAGTTAAATCCCTGACATTGATGCCACGACGATCATTAACATGCCTTTTTACAAACAACTGTATTACGTACAAAGCAATCGCGATCAGAAGGATGCCCCGATTGAAACAGTACTGATTAACACTACACAAGCGATAGCTCTGGTAAATTGCTTGAGCCTAATCCAGACGGGCTACTTAGTCGCGGATTCTCGCAGTTCAGGAGACCTTTAACCCAGTTCAGTTTTACGAAACGTTCTTACAATGTTTCGTGGTTTTCAATAATAGCCTAACATAGATCGGTTCATGATTTCAATGAAACACAGACAAAACAGAAGATTTATTACTTAGTATTCTAAAGGAATGATAGGAGTGACCTAATTTGCTGTATACCTGTAGAGCGTCTTCCAGGACTATGAAAGTACGCAAAGGTATGTTGGACAACCGTGAGGAGGTGTGCTAATCTCCACGACAATTTGTCTAAGACAAGATGGCTTCAACAAATGCGAATCACGTACAGCGAGGACATTTTCAGCACGCGACAGCTCACTACACTTTCGAGATCATAAATTATTATATATGTGCTGTTTCAGACATATGCAAGCGCATTTATTACACGTCCATACGCTATCTTTTCAGCAGAAAAAAATCGAGTGAGTTGTGCTGGTTTTTCATGGATAAGAAACCACCTACAGAACAAAACATTCTTCGATAAAATTGTTATAATAGGGAGAGAAGGCAATTTGTTAAAATATGAAAAATAACAAGATCGGAATATATAATATAAAATAGGGATGAGATGGGCATCTTTATGGTAGATATCGCTGGTGTCCAGGATTATTGATAACAACGGCCTCATGTAGTGCTTCGTTGAGGCTTCAGGAAGATAGTGACCGCTAGCGTTTTCGTCAATAAAATTCGTTTTTGTTGCCTAAGCTCTCGCCACTTGACATTTTTCGGTGTTATCTATTAAGCCCTTACCGTGCATCTATTTGTTCAGCGTCTTTCGGTTGCTCAGTAACCTCTGCCAATAAAATAGAGATACTAAGACAAGCCTAACAAATGTAATCAAAATGAAATCATTTATGCACTTATCACTTGATAATTATTGTGAAGTACTGTCTTATTTTGTAGGTTATCGTGAAGCACATAGAACCGTAAAGTTCGTCTGCTACAATTCATAAAAAATACAACTACATAAGCTAGAAGTTATCTGCAAAACAATTGCAGACAATAAGCCATTTCATTATGCCTATGATAAATTTACTTTCATCTGCTATGAATATTGTCCCGTGTTTATTCACTTCTGTGCACAACAGAATGAATGAATCTTTTTTGAATGATGTGAATTTGGAATAAAGTGCCAGAATTCGCATGATGTGCGTGCTTATGAGTCACACAGCTATTTATGCATTTAGATGCTTAAATTTCTCTTTGAATCCAGTTTTAAACTTCAACTAATGAGAGCCGGTGTGTTTAGTGAGAGACTTAGAGTGAAGATCTACTACCTCTTACTCAACGGGTACTCGGATCCAAGCTGCTGATATAAGAACACGAGATCCATCTTCCATATATGAGGGCCCTACACTATGCCAGAGATATGTTAATTCTAGGCTAAAAATGTGACAACAGCTAGGCTTGATTCCACACAAATCATGCGAGAATGAAGGTTTTATACTTCAGCTGAGTACTTTTAATGCATCATATATGGCATACGTATATATATTTGTCATAATGCAACGACCTGATATATCAAATCTTACATCGAGGTAACTTAATGGACTACACTGACTCGTCTCATCTTGAAAAACAGCAATACGTTGTTAAGTGCTTCTGAACCACACATTTTGACTGGAGATGACGTAATATATTTGATGTGGAATGATATGAGTTACACAGAATGGCCACGCCTGCAAGTCTGAGCTATGTCATATCATACAATTTCCTCGGTAATCAAATATTCTGCATCAAAGGTTGTGTATTACGAGCCAATATGACTAAATGTACACTGTCTTTGCCAACCATGTCGAGTCATAAGCGCTATATGTTCCGGGATAACTTATATTATTAAGTCAACCATGAAACACTGGGAGGTCCTATGCCTATATGTCACAAATTCACTTCTATAACACCATAATAGTATGGGATTTTTCCAACTCACTTTACGAATTATATGGACGAATTATATCCCTGTTCTTATTTCGGCACTCTGTATAATATTGAGTATCAAGAAACTGTAGCGTGGCGTCGAGTTGAGATTAACTGTGAACACCGCTACCCAGAAACACGTGCCAGACAAATCAGAAGGCGAGGATCGATCGTAACCAGATTTATTTCGTTGGCGATCTCGTGGTATTGAACGAATACCGAGATCGTGCCAAGGAATGGTACAAGTGAAAGCAGAAGACGGGAGTACGTGCGAGCAGTACCAAAAACCGCGGAACAATGATGGAAGGTAATGGAAGCACAAAATGGCTATAATTAGCACAGTCAAACAAAAGCACATTAAAACAAACACTGGTACAGTTGGTTGTAATAATAATTGTTTTTATTAAACCAGTCGTGTTCTCGTGATAAACGTGAGTCACTACAGGAGCCCCCCGCTAGAAAGGGTTTACACTTTCGATAAATAGCGGTTTGAATCGTGGGACTGATCGGCTGATGAGCGATTGTAGGACGGAAGAATTGGCGAACAGGAAAGCGATCGTTGATCGTCGAGTTGCCAACGAAGGTCGTTATCGGAGAACGGTACCAGGAGCGATGTGTTGTATTTATTGCTCGAGTCGGCATGCTACACCAGAGTGGTTTGTATCCAGAATCTGAAGAGGGCGTTCGTAGAGGTGCGCACCAGAAACGCTGCAGACGTAGGACGAAACCACGTTGAGCCGAAAGACCAGAAGCAACCGTTACGACCAAGTTCGTGACCAAGCGTGTGCCAAGCGTTCGAAACCAATATATCGACTGAGTACGTTGACAAGAGCGTGGGTGGCCAATCCAGCTTTCGCCAAAGTTGACTGAAGTCGACGGAACCAACGTAGATGGTCGAAGGCGTGGGCTCAGGAAACAAAAAGAAAATCAAAAAAAGAGTGTAGCATACGTGTAGTATAGGAATAATCCTACACCGTATCGGTTGTTGACTGTGCGACTATTCGCGGAAGCGTACGGGTAACCGTACTCGGCAACCGGAACGTGAGACGGCAGTCTCGTTCGCGTCGCGTGAGCCTGCAATCTCATCCGAAGTCAAGGGCGGCGTGGTCTGCTGATCTGGACGTGAGACTGTCGTCTCGTCCGTAGACGGTGCAGATGACGCGTGCTGTTGACTGGGACGTGAGAATGAGGTCTCAGATACATCTAGCGTGGGACCTGAAGAAGATTTAAGGATCCCGTTAGGTTTAATAGGTCTAGCATTGAATCTCAGGTTGTCAGATAGGGCACTGTCATCGACGTGTGCTGGTTTGAGACGATCAATGCTGACGATCTCGACGCGGCCGTGTCGATCAACCTTGAAGGTCTTTTCGTGACGAGCGATCACGCGAAAAGGGCCTTCGTAAGGTTGTTGCCAAGGTTTGCGTACCGAATCTATTCGTACAAAAACACGTGAACAGGTAGATAACTCTCGAGGGAGAGCGACCTGTCGGTGTTGTATTCGAGTTGACACCGGAGACAGCGTTCACATAAATGCAGACAGTCGACGGACGTTGTCTGATTTACCGAAATTAGGTCTGCTCCGTGGTGTGAAGGATTCTCCGGGCAGACGCAATGTCGTGCCGTATACCATTTCAGCGGCGGAACATTTTATATCTGCCTTCAAGCTCGTTCGAATACCTAAGAGGACGAGCGATAAGGTTTCGTACCAGTTGTCGTTCTCGTGTGCTCGTAGAGCACTTTTAAGTTGACAATGAAACCGTTCAACTTAACCATTTGGTGCTGGGTGGTAGACGGATATGCTTATGCGTATGCATTCCGTACCAAGCAGCCGGGTCAGCGAGGAGAATCGTTAATAGGGTAACATTTCTCGAATAAAGCGTGGAATTCATCATCACGCGAATAAAAAATGACAAGGATTCGGTACACATACGTGTGAGTCTATTATATTAATACTATTCTTATCGTTATCCGTCATGTCGCGTATATTATATATTAAAAAATATGAAAATATACGACAGACGTGGATAGATAAATCATAGACTCACCGAATTGGCTTCTTTGGAAGATTTGACCAGAAGCTGAGGCGTGTTCCAAAATACGGGTCACCAATTGTAGTCGAATTGGGATTACCAATTGTATTCGTATTGGGATTACCAATTGTAGCGTGGCGTCGAGTTGAGATTAACTGTGAACACCGCTACCCAGAAACACGTGCCAGACAAATCAGAAGGCGAGGATCGATCGTAACCAGATTTATTTCGTTGGCGATCTCGTGGTATTGAACGAATACCGAGATCGTGCCAAGGAATGGTACAAGTGAAAGCAGAAGACGGGAGTACGTGCGAGCAGTACCAAAAACCGCGGAACAATGATGGAAGGTAATGGAAGCACAAAATGGCTATAATTAGCACAGTCAAACAAAAGCACATTAAAACAAACACTGGTACAGTTGGTTGTAATAATAATTGTTTTTATTAAACCAGTCGTGTTCTCGTGATAAACGTGAGTCACTACAAAACAATCTCGCTTTAGTCAAGCATATCCATGCATTGTAGCAGGAGAACCTGACTTCCTTTCGGTGTTTTTGATAGTGAGTTCAACGTGATTTTGTTGACCATACATCAGTAACCGGAAATATCAGCCTTTACACTGACATATTAGTATATTTAAATGCTCCCAAGTATATGCATTGTGTATTCACCTTGATGGTAGACAGCCAATACTACAAATCCGTCCATAACCATAAAAACGTGGAAGCAATGTGTGGTAGGTTTAGCCAAACACTTGACCATAAGAACAACAAACCGGAATCACATACCAACGAAGTGACCATGTGTTGATAAGATCCCAGTATGTATTAACACTAAGAATTTGTGACTGAGCATTTGGTGCATAGCTCGCAAAAAGACAGGAAGTGAGAGACATAAATGCTTGACAAACCGGAAAAAGGTAGACTGTTCGCAGTAAGGAAAACTGAAAAATAAAACCCAAGCGAAATGTTAGTAAGGGTGCAGAAAGGACCAATCGATCTATACACGTTCGTTATAAATGCTGTCAAATATTGAGCATTGTACACATTTTTCCAGGCTATTTACTTGGTTGTGATGTGTGCGACTTTTTGGATGTCGTTTACTTTTCGGCGTTTTTTTATGGTTACATTTCGGTACAATTCTCCGATCTATCATAAGATTTAAGTATGAGAACTGAGTTGGAATTTATCAATTCTGGGATCGATAGTATTAACGGTCTTAATTTGTCTCCAAATATAACTGTGTTGAATTTGCACCACAATCGCATTTCAGAGATAAATGGGCTCACAAAAGCGACATCGTTGCGTTATTTGGATTTATCTTCTAATTATATTAGTAAGATATGTGGACTCGATAATTTGCAGCATCTTCGAATTTTGAACTTGTCATCTAATAAGATTCGGTCCATTGATTCATTAGAGAACTTAAAGTAGGTTTAAATGCTTATGTCTTTGTATTTAAAATCAGTTCTGGTGAATGTTTTTTCCAACGTCGTATGTCAGTCTAAAATGCATATATGGTTATGTAGTCATGTGGTGCTATTTTGATACACGATATCTATTGAAGTTTAGCAAATATCTCGGAAATAATGTTTAAAAAATTTGGGAATCAGAACCAATATAAGTCAAAATTTGATTGTGAACAAGAGTTCACAGATCGATTGTTTCACTGTAAAGAGACGCTGGTGCAGGTGTTGAAGCGAATAATTCATGCTTTGTCGAACTTATTTAAACGTTCATATAAACGATAGGTTCATTTAGCTAAATAAAATGTTCCATCATGGAGTTTGAACTCTTATTACTGGACATAACTTTGGCGTGGTCTCATTTCTACGATATCCAAAATAACAAAATCATACTCGTAGTTTACATTTAGTTGAAGTAATTCAATACAATCAGTTAATCAGTGTATTGCCCTTACCTCTTATATTTTGTGTGGATAGCGGTAAGTTTATTCATTATCCACATTAATGGCACTATGTTAAATCGTGTTTAGATATCTTATCCTCTTAACTGTAAACTTTTCAGTTCGCAAGCCCTCTTCTGCTCCTCGTTTTTCTTGTTTTTCCAGTTGTTTAGTCCGTTTAGATGTCTCTTTCAATGAAATAACTAGCCTAGTTGGTTTGAAAAAACTATTTGGTCCCGGTTACAGTTTGACTGCTATTATATTACAGGGAAATCAAATCCAGTCCAAGTCACATATCTTGGAGTGCTTGAAAAATTTAGTTAATTTGCGCCAATTAGTTTTACTCAATCCACAAACAGGAGATGGTAATCCTGTTTGTGGCGAACCAGGTAAACACATATATTTGTTCTAACTGTACCTATAGATTTTTTATGTTGCTACTGTATTCAGTAGTAATGGTAAATGAAGGTATATGAATTTTGTGCTAAAGCAAAGTCTATACATCTTGCTGTGTTATTAATTGTTCAAAACAACTTTATCGCGTGCTGATTAAAGACTGGCTTTTAGCAAGCTCTTACATTCGCTACACAATTCAACGCCGGTTTCCACCATCTCTGTTCAGATATTGATCGTTAGTACTTTTCGACAGCTAAATGATCACATGGCAATATAACTTGTCAGTCACTTTAGTATTCATGAATCAGGGAGGTATTTTTAACTTTTATCACTTTTTAACAAGATTAGCGCATCAGATTACAACACAATGTTAATTCACTGATTATACACACATTCGTTAATTGCACATTTCCTGTAAAAGGTATACAACATTGTTTCGCTAGTAGCTTCTATACATCTCTTATTATTATGACTATTACGGTTATCCTATAATTTTTTTATTATTTTGGCTACTGAAACGAAAAGATACATAAATGTTTATTACAATTAGATTTGTCTAAAAAAACTTTTAGCTACTGGTTAAACGGCATTCTAAAAATGTTGACGCATAAAGTCTTGAAATGATAGGTTTTTGGCCGAAAAACGTTTCCATAAATTCAACTTAATTGGCTAGTATCTTATTTTATTTCAAATTGAAGACCATTGAAAAATGTCTATCTTTGAGCCCTTGTACAAGATAAAGTCGTGTTTCTCTGACAACAACCATTTTATGTTTTAGGTGGTTTTGTCCGCTTAACTGGATGGTTTGATCATGAGGCTTTCATCGTTCTTCTGAACAACATCATTAGCACAAACTTCAGGTAGAAGTGAATTATTTGAATTTCTCTACATATGGCTCACAGTCTGTTTTGTGGAGAAATTCGAATACTTCACCCCTACTTGAAATTTGTTGTTGATGATGTTGTTTAAAAGAACTACGAACAGAACTCCCAAATTATCCGCTTGAGCTAAAAATTTTCTTCACAATCTCAAAATTTCATATGTTGTTAGGTTCTACTTTTAACTGGTTTGAATCAAATACTTGTTTACTATATATACAATTTCATAACTCTGGTCAGATTTTTGAACTTGACACTGAGATATAAAACTATTACGGAAATATAAAACTGCTTACTCTAACTTTTTTTAAAAATAAAGTTTTATAATGGTAGCTTAGTGATATTAGTAATCACCATTTCTCCACCGTAGTATCGATCGTCAAAGGAAATGTAAAATACCATAAACTACAGTAAAGCGCGTAATCAATGCTTACAAACTTGTCGAAGTAAATGTGACACATAGTCGTCAGACGTAACTAAGGTTAAGTCACGATTAAATTTTCAATCGCGTGTACGGTTAATACGAGGGCCTAATAAATCTCAGGACGTCTAAATGGATAGTCTTTCAATAATCGGCAACAATCTAGCCAAATGAGAAATTGCGCTAGTACTCAATTAGGTTGAATATAAGTCATTGGGGAAAAGCAAACTGAGTAAAATGTAGACCAACGCGAACAATTCGATAGTTTTGTCACATTTCGAGTTTTTCTAAAAGTTGAAAATGTCTTGATAATCAACCTTGAATCCATAACTAAAGGGATCCATTGTGTCATTGAAATAGGAATGTAATTCAGCAAAGAACATTTTATTTTCAACGATTTCATTTACTTAACCTGAACAATCGTATTTATAGTCAGTTTTATTTGCTAAATAAAGCTCTATGGTGAGATAGAAAGGTGCGAATTAATTTAAAAGCTTGGAGTGGTATGTTGTTAAGAATTAAAAATGAGACATTTAAAGGAAAGTACGTAATAATCGGCTAGTGAAAAAGTTGTAAGGTGGAATAATTGTCTATTTGATAGTTATTAAGAACAAAACAATTAAAAGTCGTGATAATTGCTAATTAATATTCATGAAAAATAATTAGGAGAGAGTGGGAATAATGAGGTAGATAAAAATTATTGGGGACGATAGATTTAGGAAGACAGAAAGGGAGGTTAAGGCCATGGAAGAATGAGGTACTGAAAATACCCTTGTTGTTAAGCTTAAAATGGTGTATGGCAATAGCCTCCATTGTACATAAGTTTTTCATTCTCATTTTTATTAAGCTAACTCTTTTGACTCTGTGTGGCCGGAATTGACTAGATGCTCTAAGATGGAGCTTTTGACTGACTTCTTTAATCCTTTGGAGAGTCATGCCGGGTAATTTTTGAATATGCGTCTCAAAAGAGTTCGCCTTGTATGGCCAATATAACCCGCTCTACACAAGCAAGTAAACTGATAGCTGCATATTAGTTCGACCCAAAGCTGAATCTTGTCTTTCACACAAATAGAATTGAATATAAATACGACTATTAAGCTTAATTCAATGTAATCATTGAAAAGAAAATTTTCTTTGCTGATTTGCCGCTTTTTTCAATCCTGAACAGCAATGGAATAAACTAGTGGCTGAAACTTACAACATGATAAATAAAGTCAAAACTTAGTAAAAAATTAAGAGTGCATATATATGTATTCTTTTAATCTGGGGCCTTAACCTATAAGTCTACACAACGTCACTGACCGACTTGCCATTTCTATGTAGTACCTGTTTCTATTCTAGATATTCCCACTTGATGATTTCAACATATCCAATGAATTATTTGAAGAATTATATGCTCAGATACTAACAACCTGTGTAATAGCCTTTCCACATAAAGTTGTGTTTTATAATCATAAGATAACAACACTAAGCCAACTTCATACACATCTCTTTATGTCACTAGTCTATGATCACCGTTATGTAGTGTAATTACTTTAATATTGTTTTTCCAGTTTGGTTGAGCTGTATTATATCTTTCGTTGACTCTTTGAACTATTTATGAATTTATTTGTAAAGAGGCTGCAGTTAGCATCATTTTAACAGCTTATTTACTTTCTTAGGATGATCCGTCATTTTTACAATCAGACTACGTTTAAAAAATATTGCTAAATTAATATCGTTAGAAGATGGATGGATTTCATTTGAGATAATGTATCGTTATGTAACATACCTACTCATTTATTTTATTTTTCAATTTGCATATGTTATTGGGTTTTTGTTCTTTCCTCCAGATTATCGTCTAGATTTACTTCAGGGTCTTCCTCAATTAGAAATATTAGATCACGTTGACAGAATGGGCCGTTCCACTCAAATTAATGTTTTGGCTGATTTGCCAGGTAGATTAAATATGCTTACTTTATCCCCACATCTGTATATCTCAGTATTAGTTGTTTTTATAGTGTGGTGGCTCAGTTGCTACGTTGTTCAGCTTTCAGTTACTAGACTATAGATTCAAATGCCTCTTAAACTATTTTTTGTTCACCAGGGTATTATTACAAGCCCTCATAAAGAAAGTATGCCTTGAAACCGGATCCATAAACTTGTAGTTGATATACGATTAATGGTTTCAGTATAAAATTGCTTCAGTCTTAATTCAGTCGAATGTTGTGAGAACACATTGTAAATGTGAAAAAGTGTTTATGTCCCGAGTTATTGCTTTATTTGAATTATTATGACGAAGTATAATCCGTCAAACATACAAGTCACTAACAGAAATGAACCAAAATCATATTTCAAATGTCGCTGATATCTGATGTGACCCTGTCCCAACGCTGTCATTTGAATCCGAGATGTCGAGTCTATTTTCAGGAGAGCAGGGTGATACGGTGGCCTAATCAGAAATTTCCAACTGAGAAATATACTTAGTTGACTAATAAATAGCCAATTTTGCAACGGAAATTAGCTCTCGATAGGCTCTATGTTCTTATGGACATATATATATATATAACAAGAGTGTACAGTTGTTACTTGATTTAGATGGTGAAAAAGTTTTCTCCTCAATCTTTTCATTCAAGCAGTGGTTCGTGATTGAATGTATCAGTATTAACTCTCGGGCACCTTGCCTCACAACAATGTTAACATTTATTGCTTAATTTGAATGGATTTTGTGAATGAATTTATAACACTGTATACTGATATATTCAGTCAGTCACACTTGAACAAACTGTCGTAATTTTATTCAAACTAAACAGACTTTCTAACCTAACTAGAAGTGATTGCTCAAACAAGGGATATGTTGTCTGGTTTTGACACTTCAATATGTATTTTCTGGTTCAACCATTTCTATGTAAAAACTTATATCAGTTATACTATCAGGCAATTTAGTGAACGATATACCAAAAGCCTCTCTTTGTGGTTTAGAAAGGGGTCAGCCAAAGTCAATAATCAATTCTGCATTATCGTGTTTAGACAAGTAAACATTGGTACAAGGATGCACCAAATAGATATGCGCCATACAAATCATTTGATTTGTGTGAGGGCTTAGATACTGAACAGGTGTTCAAATGGAAGCAGGTGGTTTTTAGAGGGGCCACACCCGCAGCCTTTGACCTAAAGGTCTAACCCACAAGGCAGTGAGGCAACATCAGGAGATGCAGTTACAATGTAGCCAAGTGACCAACGATTGCCCCACACGCCATTTGTTCCTTCAGGATCCTGGAACTCACATGCACCATTGGTTAGGAATGAGGGTTTTCAAACTCCGCTTGGTGGACTCTTCGTGTCCACCGACCCGGTTAAGGCGTCGAACATTTATTTTTTGTCCTCTCAATCTCGTAAACAATACCACGGCGGCGAGAATGCAGTAATCATTACTTCCCTGAAAGTGATTGTATGCACGTGACCATGTGAGTGCATCTGGAGAGAGGGAGAGAGCTAACTCCCCCTACTCTCAGTCATACCAGGGCATTTGGTAATAATGGGGATCTAATTACAAACACTGTTCATGAAAATAAAATAAGAAAATTACTTTTAATTAGAAAATGTTTGTCATTGGGTTGAAACTTATTGTTTCAACACATTAGTTAAAAGAAGTAATTTCTCTATGTCTAAGCTCTAATACATATCGATGTGGAGACTTTTGTTAGAAGGAAAAGGTTGAACAAGTTCTTAAACTGAATTATAATGATGATAATGAATATTTCGTTTGATTTATGTACATTTGTGCATAAAAAAATTGGGTGAAAATCATTGATTTTGAATTTGTTTTTATTTTTCTCCTCTGAAGAATTAAGTGGATTCCTCGACATGATTTCTACTTCCAGTTTGTCAGTAAGTTTAAAAAATGTTTGTTTTTTAAATTTATGAATATAAGTTTAATTCGTTTAGATCCATTTACTGATTACGGTTATCATTTATCTTATGAAAAGTTTTGAATGAAGTCATGTTGATGTTAGACCACTATTGAAAACTTAAAAGCACTGGACGGCCGTTTCATCCTGTTGTGGGACTTCTCAGCATTGCTCACACCATTGTAAAGAAATAAAATAGTCAAATGTCAATAACTAAAGTTACAAGAATGGTATTTATAAAATTATGTCATAAAACTACGAGTAATCAAAGTAGATTTTGTTCCTTTAAAAGATGGATTGCATATTATTTTTTAAAAATCAATTAGACTTACTATAAAATCAGCCCCCAAATGCCCTGGTACGGCCAAGAGTGGAGAGAGTTAGCTCTCTCCCTTCAAATGCTCTCACATGGTCATGTGCATACAACCACTTCCAGGAAAGTCCTACTCACTGCCTTCTCGCGGCATTACTGTTATTTACGAAATTGAGAGGACGAAAAGCGATTGTCCGACGCTTTAACTTGTTCGATGGGCACGATGAGTCCACCAAGCGGAGTTGGAAAACCCTCATTCCTAGACAATGATGTTCATTGGATCCATGATCATGAAGGAAAAAACAACGTATGAACCAGTCGTTGGTCACAAGCTACCATGGAGTTGCATCTCATGATGTCGCTCCACTGCCTTGTGGATCAGACCTTTATATCGAAGGCTGGGTGTGTGACCCCTTATGAAAACCACCTGCTTCGGTTTGGGTACCTGGACAGTATCCCAGCCCTCACATAAATCGAATGATTTATGTGGCGCCTTCTTGTACCAATGTTTATATGTCTAAATAAATAAACGATAACATCAACACTGTATTCTTACTAAATTTTATTGTATGTATGTTCTGTTCATACACAGGAATCTGATCATTTGGATGAAGAAAAAGACAAGAAACTGAACTATAATAAAGATCAAATACATTTGTCAGAAAATTCTGCTAATAAAGAAGTCAAGAATGTAATTAACTAAAGTTTATTTAATCATTTTCTGATTTCTACACTAAATAAACAAATTTGATTGGATTTAACATTGATGTTTGTTTCAAAGATGGTTCTATATTGAATAATATTAGCTTTCAAATGGATATTTTCTTCACTATATTTAGTTGAAAACTCTAACGAACAATCTGTTAGAGACGATGGGGAACAATAATTTTTTGTAATTTATTTTAATATGCTTCTGTTACTGGGCTACAGTTCGAAACCCTATATACTTTATTGATTTATGAGTCTGTGAATAATCAATTTAACAACTTTACTCGTTTATAGGTTCAGATTTGTTTCATCATAATCAAAGTATCAGTTTCAAACATTTTAAAGTCTCGGAAGAGATATAGTAAACTTTATAACTTCTAAACTGAACTTACAAATGATTTATTTTTATATTTAGTCCAGAAATCAGCTGAATATTTCATTTCACCGAACTACTTAATACTATTCAGTAGTTTGTTTGATAACATTCAATTTCCACGAAGTCCAAGGTCGAAGAGTCAAATCATTGGAGCTTTACTGAAAGAATTCTATTCTGATTAGTGGATGCTATGGAAAAAGAAACCGAAAACTCATAGAGATTATCAGTTATTTTTGAGGAAACTAAAGTTTGCATGAACCAGGTGTGAATGCAACAAAGTTTAGTAATTCCGAGAATAAAATATAAGGATATGCTCAAGTGAGATAGTATAACTAGAACAGATAAACGTTAATGCCAGGCTCAGAGGTTTTTCTTATTAGTTTGTAAATGTAAACATTTGACTGGTATTTGATAAATTAACTTCAGAATTGTCAATATTTCCCAACATAATTAAGTGTGTTTACATCACCATGTTCAATCGGGACTCATTTTTTACTTTGGAAATTAGTGTTTATGTAGGATCAATCGTATGCAGTTTAGCATATATGTTATACAAATTTAACTAGAGATATTACTGAACAATGTATCTAGTCGGATAAACGGTGTCATGACTAATGACTGTATTCTAAAGAATACATTTAAATGAAGTTATAATCTAGAAATTGCATTGTCAGTAATCACTGTGGCCAATTTATCTAGATAACTTGGTCAGATTCAAATAACATAAACTATCTTAACCGTTGGCCCCCGAATGCCCTGGTACAGCTGAGAGTGGGGAGAGTCACCTCTCCCTCTAGAAATGCTTTTAAAGGCCACGTGGATGCCACCACTTACAGGGATGTCCTACTCACTGCCTTCTCATGGCGGGGGTGTTGTTCACGAAATTGTGAGAACAAAAAGCGAATATCCGACGCTTTAATCGGGTTGGTGGATACAGAGAATCTACCTAGGGTAGTTGAAAAACACACATTCCAGTATCCTGAGGGAAAAAATAGCGTATGAACCAATTATTGGTCACTGTCTACATGGGACTGCATCTTTTGACGTTGCTCCACTGCCTTGTGAATCAGACCTTCAGGTCGAAGGCTCAGTGTGTGCCCCCCCAAACCACCTATTTCGGTTTGGTCACCTCGACAGTATTCCAGCAGTCGCAAAAATCTAATGATTTATGTGGTGCATATCTTTTTGGTGCCTGCTTGTACCAATGCTTTTGTGTTTAAGTAAAACATAAAAAATTACTTTAACTATTGAACCTAAAACGTTTTGCCTTCTAAAAGTACGTCATCAAAACAAGAATGATACTTCAGTGTTCTTTAGCCCATTTATTTTGGACAATGAAACAGTGATAAATTAACTTAATACCTATTTTGGATTCATAAACGTTCGGGCCAGGTTTTGTGTTAGTCACAGCTGACTGACTATTCTACATCTAGACATCAACCAATTTCTTCATTAAATTTATTTAAACTTCAAGAATACTTGAATCATTCACTTAAACTTCTTATAGTCGATAAATAATTTATCAATGGGAAGATACAAGCCAAGCAATACCAAGTGAATTTAAATTCACCCCATTGCACAAGCAAGTGGCTATCAGGACTCAGTAGGTGAGTGCATAACGCGATGGCGTTTGAAGCGAATGGTACTGGGTTCGAGTCCCACGGTGAACATCAACTCTGAAATGCACGTACATCCAACTGACGAGTCCCAAATAGGACGAAACGCATGTCCTGGATTCCACTGCTAGCCACTATCCATCACTGCTTGCAAAAAGCTCGTGAATTAAGGCAATGTCGAGGCATACGCACAGTATGCACATATGCTAATAACAGACTGATCAATTGCAGTCTTAAACCTTAATGGGAAGATACAAGCCAAACAATACCAAGTGAATTTGCTTTGTTTTGTTTTTTCATAATAGATGCATTCAGCAACCTGTGAACAAGATGAACAACATATTTCTACATTATCTTCAACCACTGAACGTCGATTATTAAATTTAGAAAGTCAATTAAATTCATTAATTACATCTCATTTAATGAAAATTTATCAAACTGAACATAATCATTCAACACACCATAATAATGTACTTCATTCATCATCAATTCAAGAAAATAATCTAAAAAGTGGTAATACTGTTGTAGTACATGGGAAAAATGAAATTAACTCATCTAAAGTAAAGGATACCCTTGACTTATGTCAATATATTCCAGAAAAAGAAGTAAGTGTCTGCATTCTAAATGCATTTAAGTTTATAAACTAATGTCTAGAATGTTAGAAATAATAACAACGCAAATAAGCTTATTATCATTGTTCATATTTTTTGAAGGCAAATATGAGTTAACAACACAGTCAGTCAGCTACAATGTAGGATCAGGCACATATATGCATCCGTCCAAGTTCCCATACCTCATTAGCACAACAAGATGAACACAGAATTCATAGAACTAGCTAATGCAATGGTGGTAATATATAAAAGAAAGATTGCATATAAGGACATATTACGGTAAGAAGAAATTAGTTGGTAGAAAGAAAGATATGAAGTGGTTTTAATCTCATAGTTTAAGTGATGACAAAGAGTGTATATACCTACGCCATTGTGATCGATTCTGAGCCATGTCACAAGTTTAGCCAAAAGTGGCTGTCAGTGTGGGTGACTGTAATTGATAGACTGGGCATAACTCAAGAATGGCAAATCGTGTATTAATAGTTCATAGGTCAAAATGAAGCTTATAATAAGAGAAACATGAATATGAATAGTTTAGTTACTTGATAATTATACAATAAATAATATGTGTATACTATTTGTCCAGAAATAGATTCCAACAGTTACCATTCATTATTCTCATCGGGATATAACATAAAGTCACTTAACCAATTAGGTCATTGACTTCGATTTATAAACAAATGTTGTTTAGTTATGGTAACTCACGCGAAATCTAAGAATGTTTCTCACTTTTTTATTTAAAATTTTGACGATTGTTCAATTGTTTAATCACTTAAAATAGTGACATAAGATTTTAATTTCAAGTAACACCATATCCGATAACTTTAATCCTTATTCCTTATTAATCACTAATCATATATTTTCGAATCTCGCGAGGCGGAATCGTGGATGCGCACTACTGAGGAGTCCTACAGTAGGACGAAACCGCTGTCCAGTGCTTCCGTGTTTTCATTGGTGGTCTAGCTTCAATTGACTCATGATCTCAACTATTAAAAATTAACATAATATCCACAAAAACTCCTTGTGATACTAATCAGCATATGCTCACTAGTGACTGGCTTCAAGAGATATTTCCTGGAGTTCTAGTGAGAAGCAGTGACCAATGGAGTTCAATCTGGCCTGTTGTAACTCACTGAAGACAACAGTGAACGGTGGCTCAATTTCATGGATTGGTAGAAGTTAGACATTAACACCGTTGAATGCCGGCAAGTTCAGTGGTCTAGAGGTTAATTGTTCGCGTGCGAGACTGATAGGTCCTGGGTTCGAATATCGCGGTGCGTGATTTTCGATGCGCACTGCTGAGGAGTCCCATGCTAAGACGAAACTGCCATCCAGCGATTCGAGGTTTTCCACGATGGTCTAGCTTCAACTGACTTATGATCTCAACTATTGGAAAAATCATATATGTATTTAAAGTGTATTTTATATGAGTTTCTTACAGTCACCATTAACACATTTCTAGATGTTCGATGGAGAAGTTCAAACTGAAGCAAACGTACAATCGAATAATTTAACGGTGCAATCGACCATTGGTATGTTAAAAATAAACTGTTGAAACTTCAACATTTTCTTATAGATTGATGTAGTGTTTGTAAAATCAACGAGGGTTACATGTATTTGCAAAAAAATATTGATTTTTGTTGTCCAGAAATACATCTTTAGCTGAATCATCTTTCTAGCTGCTTTATCACGAAGGAAGTGAACGTTATGTCTTTAAATATTGAAGATTATACGTCAGTAATATTTCACGTTCAATCAATATCATGAAAACTTTCCAAAATGTTAGATTTATGTCATAAATGATTCATTAAAACCAAATGACCATTTCATGGGTACCGAGATTTTAAGAGTTTCTATGGTCAATACAGTGTTCAGTTGTTTGTTTTTTAAACGTTCAATCAAGTACAAACAAATTTGAGACGATTTTTTGTACAGACAATGTTCTCTCATTTAATTTATCAACAACCATTGAAACAGTGATTTGACGATATGAAACAGCATGAAACTACACTTGTATGTTCTTTTCATCAATATAAGGTATCGATAACCGTCTATTTTAGTAGTTCAGTTATTTAATTTATTGGGGTAAACTTTTTATGATTTTCCTGTATCTCATAATGTATTCACATTAATAATTCCAATATTTCAATTGAGACGTCACATTTAAAGATGTTACTGACATTTCAATTAAATATTCAATACAACTTTAAAAAAGCAAGATTTTCTACTTACTTATTTAATGACGTCTGTTACTTCCAGTGGAGCATAGGGCGTCGGCCAACATTCTCCAACCCACTCTGTCCTGGGCCTTCCTTTGTAGTTCTACCCAATTGTTGTTCATTCCTCTCATGCCTGTGGTCTTTAGTCATCATCTTCTCCTTTGGCATTAAGGATTCCAGGTGAGTGTTTGTCTTTCGACACAGTTGGGTACTTTCCTCAATATGTGTCCTATCCAGTTCCAGAGCTTCTATCTGATTTCTTCCTCTACTGGAATCTGGTTTGTTCACTCCCACAGTACGTTGTTGCTGATAGTGTCTGATCAACAGATCCGAAGTATTTTGCGTAGACAACTGTTAATAAACACCTGTATTTTCTGGATGATTGCTTTCTTAGTTCTCCAAGTTTCCACTCCACACAGTAGAACTGTCTTGACATTTGTATTGAAAATTATGACTTTGGTGTTGGTTGACAGACAGTTGTTTTGAGTTCCAGATGTTCTTCAGATATAGATTTACTATTCTTGCTTTGCTGATCCGCGCCTTCACATCTGTATCAGATCCACCCTGTTCATCAATGATACTGCCCAGATATGTAGAGGTTTTTACATCCTCAAAAGCTTCTCCATCAAATGTGATTCTATTGGTGCATGTTGTGTTGCATCGGAGAATCTTGCTTTTCCTTTAGTTTAAGTTGAGACCTACTGTTGCTAAGACCACTGCTACACTGGTTGTTTTCTTCTGCATTTATTGTTGAGTGTGCGATAGAAGAGCCAGATCATCCCATGCTTCCTCCCAGATGTTGACGTATCCATGATCCAGTCGATCACCAGGGGAAAGAGAAAGGTTGAGAGTAACCAACCTTGCTTGACACCGGTCTTTACTTCGAACGGGTCTGTCAGCTGTGCTCTTCCGCCTGGAGCCGCTTTAGGGCTACTTCGGGTCCCAAAACCGGATAAAGAAGGAGGGTTAGGCATGGGGTTAGCGACCTCATCCTGTAGAAAACTAACTCGCTAAAAAAAACGCTTATTAGGAAAAATAATTCAAAAAAGCCAGATAATAGTTGTCATAATTGTACATAATACAGCAACCTTGTTACAAGTAATTGGGATTATCCGGTCCCTTAATCTTGATTGTTGAAGTCACAAATAATCATAGCACCTTCAATCAATTATTCGATCAGAATAAACTGATTATTCAATGAATGGAATATCAGTAACAATCATATCAAGGTGTAGTGTTATGTTAAGCCCATATAACTTATTGTAGCTCCTAGGCAGGCCAATTTATCCATTCTCCTTGAGTCACGTTTTCGACTTGGTTAATTGTTCACTTATCAACCCTTTACTGTTTTTATGTGAGCGTGTGTGTGTGTACACTTCTTGTCCTATTGTAATACTCTAAGATTTTATTATTAGTAATGCAACTATGAATATAACTAATCAGATAGCTTGGCGCATCAGCCTATCTATTTATTTGTTTCTGTTGTCCGGTATCATTCTATCCATCTGTCTCTATTACTTACTTTCAGTATATTTAATTGAACTCAGTCTTTTTTCGATGGGTGATTTCATTAATTTGAGACTTGTAATTTGCAAAACTACTCAGTTTTCAGGCTCTGTTTATATTGGCTATTATATTATTGACTCAATTGAGTTTGATACTATATTAAGCTTGTTTTTAATGTCACTATTGCATCATACTGTCCGTTTTGTCTCTTACGCAATATAGATCCAGATAAATCATTATCACAACCTGTTCAACAGTTGAGTGCACAAAGTCTTAAAAATCCAAATTTGAATACATTTCAACGTCATAATCATTCATCAACTATGAAGAAACAATCAGTTGTAGACAAAAACCCGTCAAGTACATCAACAAAATTGAAATCAATTTCTGGTAGATTATCTCAAAAAACTTCACCGGAAAAGAAGACGTAAATACTTTCTGTTTTACTGATTTACATTGTTGGTTTTTGTGATTGTATGAATTTTGCGATTGTATAAAGGTCCTTCTTAATACAAACTGAGATAATATCCCATCACAATTGACGGAGAACATTTCGAAGATGTAAAAACCTTTACATATTTGGGCAGCATCATCGATGAACAGGGTGGATCTGAAGCAGATGTGAAGGCGCGGATCAGCAAAGCAAGAGCAGCATATTTACAACTGAGGAACATCTGGAACTCAAAGCAACTGTCAACCAACACCAAGGTCAGGATTTTCAATACAAATGTCAAGACAGTTCTACTATATGGGGTAGAAACCTGGAGAACTACGAAAGCAATCATCCAGAAAATACAGGTGTTTATTAACAGTTTTCTACGCAAAATACTTTGGATCCGTTGGCCGGACACTATTAGCAACAACGTACTGTGGGAGTGAACAAACCAGATCCCAGCGGAGGAAGAAATCAGGAAGAAGCGCTGGAAGTGGATAGGACACACATTGAGGAAAGCACCCAACTGCGTCACAAGACAAGCCCTCACATGGAATCCTCAAGGCCAAAGGAAAAGAGGAAGACCAAAGAACACATTACGCCGAGAAATGGAAATAGACATGAGAAAAATGAACAAGAATTGGATGGAACTAAAAAGGAAGGCTCAAGACAGAGTGGGTTGGAGAATGCTGGTCGGCGGCCTATGCTCCATTGGGAGTAACAGGCGTAAGTAAGGAAGAGATAATATTATGTGTAGAGTTAGTCGACAGGAAATCCTGGGCCTAGGTTTCGTGCTACTTGGCGCTCATCGTCAAGGTGTACCTGTAATCTTGACGGAACTTATGCTCCCTGAAAGATTCGATCTCGTGACACCCAGCTTCACAGTTAGAGGCATTACCACTTAGCTATCCGGGCCATGACTGACCTCCTGTAGAACTGAGATGGGAGCATCAGTTCCTTCATGATTACAGGCACACTTTGCTGACGAGTGCCAAGCTGCATGGAACTTGGGTCCAGTTTTTTACTGTTGACTACCTCCAACCACCATCTTATCTCAACATAGTGCACGCGATGTCGAGTCACCTAGACTGGTGGCCACATTTAAAGTTGGTCGATAACATTCAATCTGCACTAAGAAGTACCTGACATACATGACATTGATCATCACCCAGTGATCAATCAATTATCAATACAAACTGATTTAAGATTATATAATCGCTTGAGATTTTTATCATGTAATCATGGTATATTTAAACCAATGTAACGTGGGGCGAAATGTCATTAAATGTAGTCGAAGCTTATTGTTATTGTTAATTTATGTGACTTAATACAATGATAGTGATCCAATATACCTTACTTTTAAGTTAACAATTTTATCAGTCAAACTGGGCATTACAACTACAGCTAATCATATTTCGCTGGTTGTTTAAGGAGTAGGTTAAAGAGAAACCAGAGGTCCCTAAAATGGGATTTGCTTTCAACTCATGAAGCAATCTACTGTTCATCTGACATATTTTGATGAATGTCGATTATCTGATTGAGTTCCTAACGATAGTCGTGCTTAATATTTGAGTAACTTAGATAACATAACTAAAAGTCGTTCACACTGATCCGAATGCACTCAGTTTCATATTTCTCCTCAGTCTTGAGTTTTGATATTATTTCATCTACTGAGTGTGTATATATACTGCACATAAGAGTATATTTTTCATTAAGGATTTCATTTCAAGCTTTAACCTTCATTTGATTGGGGATGCGTCACAGTGTTGTGTCCACTGATAACATATAATAATAGCTTTAAATGATTGAAACGAAATCTCCAACAAAAATTACATTCTTATGTGCAGCACTCACCCACAGGATCGGTTCATGATTCCAATTTAAAAAACTCAACAATCTCCACAACCCTATACTGATGATTATCATATGCTCACTAGTGACTTGAACTGAGAGGTAATTCTCAGAGTTCTAGTGAGGAACCGTGTCCAGTGGAGTTGAACCGTGAGAGATGTGAGGCAGTTACCCACCGAAGACAATGGTAGATGGTCTCTCAAGATCATGAACCGATTGAATTTAGAAAATAACCCTGTTGAATTCCGGCTCAGTAGTCTACAGGTTATGTGTTCGCATGCATGACCAATGCTTTTGAATTCGAATCTCGCGTGCGGGATCGTGAATACTCACTTCTGAAGAGTCCCGTAGTAGGACGAAAATTCTGTCCAGTACTTCCAGGTTTTCAGTGATGATCTAACATTGATTAGTTGATAATCTGAATTCAATATGGAAATCATCTTAACATCATAACAAACTATAGAAAATAGTATTGAAATGTGATCACTTTAACTGTTAAGATAACTTGATGGAAACATTTGAAAATAAACATCTTTTAATTTTCATTATATGATTTCAGTAAACACGAAAATTCTAAAAGATCCAATTCCACTGGATTGATGAATTTCAACAATCAATTAACTGATCAAAGTAAGAAAAAAAAGTTCAAATTACTGATTACATAAATTTTGTTTTCACTAGAACACATACAAGATGTTCCTGTAACTATGAAGATTTCTTCTAATTCAAATATACAATCATATCATCATGGAAAAGAAATGAAATCATTGAATGTATGCTTTTTATTGTATTTATTCATATTTCTTCCTGATGTCTTTTTATTAAACTTAATTCAAGTAAACACAATACCAAGTGAATTAAACTTCACCTCATAGCACAAACAAGTAGCTATCAGGACTCATTAGCTAAGTAGATAACGTGATAACTTTTGAAGCGAATGGTATTGGGTTCGAGTCCCAGAGTGTGCATCAACCTTGAGATGCAGGTACATCCAGTTGACGAGTTCCAAGTAGCACGAAACGTGCGTCCTGGATTTCACTGCTAACCACTATTCATCTTGGCTTCTAATTCACTTATGTTGTGTAAGGTTTGATATTCTATGAAATTTTCGTCAAAGATTTAAAATTCACGGTAATACAATCAACAGTAAATAAACCGTTTCTTGCTAAAGATATTGATGATTTGTTAGTTTACGTACAAGATGAATATAGTTACAACATTGTTTTACATATATGCTAACCAACTACATAATATACTTAGGTTTGAGTCCCAGAGTGAACATCAACTCTGAGATGTAGGTACATCTAGTTGATGAATCCCAGATAGGACGAAATTTAAGTCCTGAATTCCAATGCTAACCACTATCCATTTTAACTACACAATATTTTAAAGATGTTTTTTTCTCTGAGCTAAATGATTTATTCCTAAAGTGTTGATAGTTTTTTCTCGACAACATTATCAGCGCATATGTCAGTGATTTGTTAGAACTTTGCTGTTTGTTTTGTTAACATAGAACTTGTTTGGCTATTATCTATCGGTGTATGATCATTACGTAGCTATCTTTTCTTAATATTTTCACTTCTGACCTGATCTCTTACCTCGGAGTTGTTTACCCTTTTCCTGATTAATTGATAACCAAGGCAACTTCGATATGTCTATTGATTGATGATTTACTAAAGTATCATACTTCTAAAAAGTTCTCCATCTTCCTTTGTGTTTCGTCTGTCCAATATTTTGACATTTCTTCAGTTGAAATCATATCGATAGTTGTTCACATACATTTATATGAGAGAAGTAATTTCGTGATGATTAACTACTGGCTGAAGTTAATGTGGACATTAATGAAGCGGATGGCAACTTTATTTTGTGCAGTACTTCTCATAGTTACAATTTTTCTCAACCATATTGTTGATGGTTTTGCAAATTGATATGTCGTATGTTATATTTAGGAATATGGTAAACATAATCTCATGATCAGTACGTGTTGTTGCAGTTTTGATGACTTACTCACAATTGGTGCTTGAAAATTCCGTCTTATCCGTAAAATGAATTTGGGTGCGTATTTGATAATTAAATCTTAATTTTGATGACACATTCAAGTCTATAAGCCAATAACTTTTTTGGCAACGTCTCTGCATGTTATGGAGAGTCCTAATCCATGGTGAGAATGTCGTGAAGCCTAAAACGAAGCAGACCTGAACTAAGGTCACTTGCTGAAAATGAATAATTTGTAATTATCTTGACTTGTTTGTTCTCCTGCATTACTACCAAAATTGATCTGGAATCAAATACTCATGCTGTAGAAATAACTGTAAGCTCAATCCTTTTTCGGATATAGCAGTGCATATTGACTATATATTGGATGTTAAGTTATCGTACATTAAACATATTTCAACGAGAACAATAAGTGTAAGATCACGAACTGAGCAACTAAACTGTCATTTCTCTACATCCGCAAAAATTGTACGCAATCTCAACATTCTTCATTCATTCATTTTATAACATAAGACAATGATACTATGCGATTTGTCTCTTTTTTCTTTGCTCCAATCAACAACAATGCGTCTTTTGTGTGTTAGTTGAACATTCATATTTGGATAAATAATCATGATTATTTACGAGTATCCGGTAATACATTTTTCTTGAAAAGAGTCGGAGCCAACTAGCCATTTATCATAATCAGTCAGACTCACTGAAATCCTAGCTGTCGTTAAATGTGTTAACGTTTATTGTTCGTCCAAGATGTTGTGATTGACATTTGTATATTTCTTTGATTCTTCTCATAATTCTACTGAATTCATAATCAGTAGTATAATTAGATATTTCCTTGTATAGACAACTTATTGTTTAGAAGACTATTATATCTCAACATTTGAATTGACTTCTATATAGAAAATACTTTATGAATTTGATCAAGAAATATCACGAAGAAAACAATCTGAACAATTGTGTCAAGATTTAGTTAGTCGAATACGTGAATTAGAATTATCAGGTAAACTTACATTTTTTTGATTGAGATCATGAACTGATTGATGTTAGACCACCGTTGGAAAGCTGGAAGCACTGGACGGACGTTTTGACCTATTGTGGGTTTCCTCAGCAGTGCGCATCCATGATCCCGTTCGTGGGATTCGAACTAAGGGACTTCGGTCTCGCGCGCTAACGCTTAACCTACATTTGTATTTCTCTAAAGTTAATTTATTATCTAAACAATTTAATAATTTTATCGTTGAATTCATGAGTCAATTGAAACTAGATCACTATGGAAAACTTGGAAGTAATGAACGACTGTTTCGTCTTAGTATGGGACTCCTCAACATTGCACACCCACAAGATTCGAACCCAGGATCTATCAGTTCGATAATTATCAGTTCATTTATAACTGAATCATCTGTTTACTTGCAATTCATTTGAGAATTGTTAAGTAATAAACAGATGAATTAGAAAAGTTGAATAATCACAATTCATTTTGTAAGATTTTCCATAGGATTATTTTCCCAATGACCATTTATTCAACTTGATCAAATCCAAATGAAGATTGTAGTGTAGTGTAGTGATGAGAACTCTAAATTTAATTTCTAGCCTTAATCATCAATTGTAAATCATAATTTGAATACTTCACACTAATTTATAACCCTCATTTGTTCCTAGTTATCAGGTGGACATCCTCACGTTCACTTTAGCGTCGCTCGAAGGTCGTCCATTAATTATAATCTCACCTTAATATTATCTCTTTAACTAACTTGCATAAACTATTCTCTTGTATCATAACCAGAATATATGGATAGTATATTGGATACATTATGTAATCATAGTGAGTAGAAGTGATTTCATTGAATGATTTGTAGTGATTGAAGTTGTTCACTCAATTATGTTACTATCCATTTTGATGAAAATTGAAATTAATAACGATTGACTACCTCCTTGTTTCATCACTTTATACCTTTAAACAAATACACTAGATAGTAGGGTTCTTTTTATAGTTTAATATATCATAAAGAGATTTATGTTGTCATGTGATTCATTATTAATTATAATATATTCACTTGTAATAAAAGCAATGGATCAGCATGAAGCTTTGAAAGTCACAGAAGAATTGAAACAGGCATTTACTACAGAACATCAGGAAAAGTTATTAGTACAATCTCAATTAAAGATAATCGAAGTAAATTTACAATTTTTTAATACTTCGTAAATTTCTGGTTTTTCTTTCAGCTAGTTTTTGTCTGAAGTTTAGTTTAACATTTAGGATAAGTAAAGACGGATAATGGTTAGCAGTGGAATCCAGGACGCGCGTTTCGTCCCATCTGAGACTCGTCAACTGGATGTACCTACATCTCACAGAATTGATGTTCACTCTGAGACTCGAACCTATCACCGTTCGCTAAGTGGATAACACGATGGCATTTGAAGTAAACAGTATTGGATTCGAGTCTCAGAGCATATATCAACTTTGAGATGCAATTACATCCAACTGACGAGTTCCAAGTAGGACAAATTATGCGTCTTGAATTTCACTGCTAGTCACTATCTATTTTTGCTTAAAAAGCTTGTTACCTAAAGCAATATCGAAGCAGTTCGCACAGAATGCACATATGTCAACAACAAAACTGATCAATTGCAGTTCTAAAACAACAATGGGAAGATACAAGTAAACAAACTATCATTTATGAACTTTTTATTTGAGTGATACCGAAGTGTTATTGAGAAACTTCAACCCCTTACTAAAGTCAAAGTACGGATATAACTTTGTGTAAAGAACCTAGTTTAAGAGTTAGAATTAAAGATTTTATCACGAACCAATATCGGTTATAATGCCTAAAAGGTATTAAATGAAGATTCATTATCTTAAATCTGGTTCCGTAGCAAGCTATTACATTTTTAACTAACTAAATGGTTTGTTCATTGTTTCCATGTTGATTAATCACCTTCTTTTTTTATTTTGTCCAAATGTTAAATGTAGCAAAAATTTAATGATATGTGTCAAATTGTTGATCATTTACAAGCAAAAGAAAATGAAGTTAAAGATCGATATGAACGAGAGGTACAGTCGGTAATTGATGGATAAACAACTTTCATATGTTCTTTATTATTTTTTTTAAAAAAAAGGGACTCTCAGTGTTCTGCCTTAAATTACATCTAAATACGATCAGAGAGAATCAGTGATCTCCCAATCTCATTTGATCGATATAAACGATATCCTATGTCGAACGATATAAAACCCTACGTACTTTGGATGACTCTCCTTATTATAGTTTTAAAAGTCAGATAAACCGATTAGTCAAAGACTTTATTAAATAAGAGTACAGTGTAATTGATAGGTTGATTCGTTGTAAGTCTATACAATTCCTTTATTTAATGTACATTTGAGAGGAATTGGAATCAAAGTTAAACAATCAATCTGATTTTCTTACTTTATGATGAAATGAAATTGTTATAAAATGTGGTCTAATAGTATACAACTACTAAACATTTGTTTACCTACTAACTTCAGTCTTGTGATATCTGGTTGAAGTTAGATATACATACCATTGGATTCCGGTTCAGTGGTTTAGAGGTTAGATGTTTGCTTATGAGATCGAACGTCCTGGATTCAATATCCGATGGCAGGTTCACAGATGTGCACTTTTGAGAAGTCCTGTATAAGGACGAAACAACTATCCAGTGTTTCTTGGTTTACAGTGTTGGTCCAACTCAGATAAATTCATGGTCTCAAAAACATTTACTACAATCACATACTGAAAAAACTTTCGATGATCTGACCTATTATTATCGAAACTTTAATAGATTAATAATAAGAGTAGTAAAATAAATTGATATATTGTGGGGATACCCATGGATGAACTCGAGCAAGCTCTAAGAAGCTCAAAAAGAGCCGAAGAAATTCTATTCAATCATTTTTTGGAAGAATATTTCAGAATCTCCACGTGTAGCTTCCCTATTGGACAAATGCTAATAACCCTCTGTATACGGATTAGAGGACTATAATGATGATTTTGTTTTTACTGAAAACTATAAATACCACAATTGATACTGTTTGGAATAGCATTCCTTTCACGTTTCCTCTTTCTTCTCATTTGTAAATTGAAGGATTCTAGCGTTCGATTGTTCAAGTTATTAGTGGTATATTAAGAATCTAAGCTCTAGATATAACACCTATCATTTTATACTACTTATTATATTGTTTTCTTTGATTAGTTATACCTGATTGGGGTTTAATTTTTCCAATAATAGCTGATAAATATTTCTTTTCGTAGATTGAAAATTTAAACAAACTCATAAGTGAATTACGCGCAGATAATAAAAATGCATTGACAAGAGCAGAAAATGCTGAACAGAAATTAGATAAAACCAAAACATTATTACGTAATCGTGAAGCGGATTATGAGTAAGTGGGAATAGAGGTCAAAATTGGGATCATTTGAATTATCTTCAAGAAAAAGATCAGTTTATTTATTTTTTGTTGTTGAAATATTCAGAAATGATATTTCATATAAAAAATCATCTATTGTCTATGTTTATTGAAGGACTTAATCGACACTTATTTCTTGATATTAGACATTGAGACGATCACTCTGGAATTTAATCAGCAATGTACTTACTTACTTACTTACTTAGGACTGTTACTCCCAATGGAGCATAGGCTGCCGACCAGCACTCTCCAACCTACACTGTCCTGAGCCTACCTTTCTAGTTCTATCCAATCAACAATGTAGTGACCAAATTTATGAACTGAAAAACAATTTTTCACGACTATTTGACAAATTTGAAGCTTTTGAGATAGGGTTTACCATGCTAACTCAGTCAGTCAGCTACAACGTATGGTCAGGCACATATATGCATCCGTCCAAGTTTCCATACCTTATTAGCACAACAAGATGAACACAGAATTCATAGAACTAGTTAATTCAATAGTGGTAATCTATAAAAGAGAGAGTGCATATAAGGACACAGTACGGTAAGAAGGAATTAGTTGGTAGAAAGAAAGATATGAAGTGATTTTAATCTCATAGTTTAAGTGAAGACAGAGAGTGTATACACCTACACCATTGTGATCGATCCTGAGCCATGTCACCCAGAGTTTCCAACCATTGGTTGCGATAGTCACGCGGACTCCAACCAAGTAGTCTGTATCTACCAACATGGCTAAGGCTAGAAGTTAGTGACTTTGTGGATTGATGCCACATTTTAGTTTGGCCACGCCTAACTCCCTTCTAACCACCCCTAACACTAGTCAGCGTTGTGCTTCGTGGTAATCGATGTTCAGACATACGTAACACGCGACCCAGCCATATCAGTCGATGAAGATTCACTATGCTAACTGCTCCATTATCGTTTAGCATTGTGGAATCTAATTATGATTTCTGAATAGAACTCCTTGAAGCTAATAATAGCCTGAGTGAAATCTTCAAGCATGTGGAATTGACTATATTTTGTCAGTTATTAACTGAGGATAAATTCCATCATTTGAAATATTGCACACTTACAATATCGGCTTTTTTAAGTCAACTTACATTTCCAATGATGTTTTTCATCTATAGACTTCAACTTGTCAAGTTGTCGATTTGAATTACCAAGGGAAATACCGGTAAAACTATAATTTACGAACGACCTTTGTGTAACGCTAAAAGGACCTTGGAATGTTGACCTACTTACCAGGGTTAAATGAGGGATATATATTAGTGCTAGACAATAGGATTAGGATTTACAGTTGAATGTTAGGGTTCAGAATCAGATTCAATGTTTTCATCACGAACTAACATCATTTATAATTCCAAAATGGTATTTAGCCAAATTAGAGGATAAATTTCGCGCCAAAATCTAAGATTTGCAATCTTAAATGTAATTGGTTTGCCCATAAGTTATAGTCTCGCTGAAATTTCTAATCAGTAATGAATATCACAATAAACATTATTCACTGTACAACTGTGTCCGGTAGAGACAGTTATTTATCTCAGTACAATGGAAAATAGTTGCGCAATTTCGTAGATTGGTTGAGGTTAGACATGAACACAATTGGATGCTGGTTCAATGGTCTAGAGGTTAAGCGTTCGCACGTAAGACTGAAAGCCCTGGGTTCGATTCCCGCGAACGGGATCATGGATACGCATTGCTGAAGAGTCCCACAAAAGAACGAAACGGCCGTCCAGTGCTTTCAGGTTTTCAATGCTAATCTAAAATCAATCAGATCATGATCTCAATCAAAAACTCAATAATCTCCACAACACTAATACTGACAACTGTTTTAGACTGATAAATTTTTAAGCCAATAACAATGTTTATTAGTTTACTGTTGATCAATAATTTTGTGTATATCAATCTGCAATCAACTGTTACTCATTTGCACTTTTTATTCATTTTCAATTTCTTTCTTGTCATTTTATATAGAAAAGAATTAAATAATCGTTATAAATTGGATAGTCCAGAATTATCTAAGTTTATATCAGCAAAAATTGATCTGGAACGAGCACATCACCAAAAAGATATTGATTTGCTTCAAGAAAAGTATGTTTTACTTACTTTTACAAGTGTTTTCACAGTTGAAATTATGAGTCGATCTAAGCTAGATAACCATTGAAAACATGAACATCCGTTCCATCTCAATACTGGACTACTCAACAGTGTGTATCCATGATCCCGCAGGCGTACGCTTAACCTCTAGACCATTGAGTCGGTATCCAACGGTGTTAATGTTTAACCTCACCCAATCCACGAAATTTCGCGACCATCTTCCATTGTACTGAGGTAGATACCTGTAACTACTCGACAAGGATTAGCTGCACTGGTTACAGCTTCTCACTAGAACTCCGAGAATTCCCTCATATGGTAATGATCAGTATACGATTGTGAATATTATTAAGTTACATATTAGTTGCATATTATATTATACACAAGCCTACAACAAAAACTCTTCCGAGAGCCCTTCTAGAGTTACAACTGGTTAAAGAGGGAGGGGGCTGGGTTCTGGATTAGTAACTCCATCTTCGTGATTCTAATATTTCTTTATTTTACTAGATTAATCGACAGTACTAAACGTTACACAGCTCTTGAAGATGAATTCAGAATGGCATTGAGAATTGAAGCAGAACGATATGAAACAGTATGTTTATGCTTGTGAATAATTTTGTACTAAATTTCTGTTATAGTGATTAATTTATTTTTGCCATACAAAATCGATTGTTTCTTTTTTGGAAATGATTTATTATTATTATCTAATGGAATCGTATTTCCAGTTGTCATTGGTCAATGAGACGGGAAATGATTACAGAGATTATGTAATATACCACTTGATGTATGATTACTTATGAGTTATTCTTATCACTTACTTACTTAGGACTGTTACTCCGATTGGAGCATAGACCACCAACCAGCACTCTCCAACCTACACTGTCCTGAGCCTACCTTTCTAGTTCTATCCAACTGTTGTTCATTCTTCTTATATCTGTCTCCATTTCCCGGCGTAATGTGTTCTTTGGTCTTTCTCTTTTCCTTTGGCCTTGAGGATTCCATGTGACGGCTTGCCTTGTGACGTAGTTGGATGCTTTCCTCAATGTGTGTCCTATCCACTTCTAGCACTTCTTCCTGATTTCCTTCACCTCTTTGATATGGTTTGTTCTCTCCCACAGTAGATTGTTGTTGCTGATAGTTTCTGACCAAGGGATTTGAAGTATATTGCGTAGACAACTGTTAATAAACACTTGTATATTGTGGATGATTGCTTTCTTAGTTCTCCAAGTTCCCATCCCATACAGTGGAACTGTCTTGACATTTGTATTGAAAATGTTGACTTTGGTGTTGATTGACAGACAGTTGTTTTGAGTTCCATCTGGAGCCTGATATATTCGTTGCTTTTCTTTTAATCTTTTATGTCATTACTCTAATTGTAGTTACTGAAAACATCAGATTTGTGTAAAAATGAATTGATCAATACACAATTACAATTAAAAGAAATGATAGAACGTGAAGAATCTGCACGTTGTTTAATTCAAGAATTAAATACGGTAACCACCTTTCTGATTTCTTTGTTTTTCTTTTTATATCAATTTTTGCATTTTATTAAAGTTGAGATAATGTCTTGTAACTAATTCATGACACACGCTTTGTTCTGTTACGATAATGATAAGATGTAATCATGTTAAGTCTTGCAGATCGAACGCTATATTCGTTTCCTAAGTTATTCTGTAACCCCCAAACTAGAACTATACAGCTACCCGAACACGAGAGAGAAGACGCAAAGTATGCGGGAAGTACAGAAAGTACAGGGTTTTTATAATATTTTAAATGTTCTTGGGTTGCTAGAAGATTCTGGAATGCTACTAAACATAGTAGCAATGTAGCAATCAGACAATCAGAACGTTTCGCCCCCTTTATATCTTTGGCTAAAACTTCAACTGAACGCTGATTGGAGGAAGCGCTTCTTAGTGTTTCCTGATCCTTGCTTGTCTTTTGCGAGAAATTTGCCGTATCACCCCAACAAATCACATCTCTCTTTTGATGTTCATATCGATACTTGAACTCACTACTTCCTTTGTCAAAAACACTCAATGTATTATCTACTGAGATACTGAGTTCTGATATACAAACCACTTGTATAGAGGATATGAATTTTGTTTATAAAAGTTTGTATTTTCTTGTTGTTAATGTTAAGAATTGGAAATGATTAGTACTTATGTGTGCATCTTGAACAGATTATCTCGATAATGACATTTAATTATAAACTTCTATTGAAGTCTTAGTCTTTAACATCAACGACGGAAGATTAAAAACCCTTAGAAATCTTCTGTATTTATTCTTTGTTATTGTTGTATTGGAGTATTTATGCATTGCAAAATTATTACATAAGTTCATCAGTTTTGATATAGTTCAGTAGCCAAGTAAAACTATTCATTGTATTCTATTTTGAGTCATACTTTTTTGTCCGGGGTTTCGCATACGATATGGTTGACCAAAATCAACTGAGAGAGTCGAGACTTAAATCTAATGCATAATAGTTAAAAAGTTTCATCTTGCAAAGCTGACATTCCATACGTTTTGTATGATTCATGATGAGTGAAGTGGCTGTGGACGACTAGCACGTATATTAATCAAAATATATTATGTCATTAACCAATTTCACATCATGGCCTACTGATAACCACATCTCAACTAAATACTACTCACTAGGTGGCTACACAATTTATTTGCAATACTTTGAATACTACTGTGTTTAAAGTCTACACATTTGTTCTGTTTTCATTCATCTTATTTCATAGCTGTAAAGAAATACTAAGCGGACCACTCAGCGTACTCATACTTTGATAGGCAAACAGATCATCAACTGTTTAAAATTACTACAATCTCCACAAAACCTTTTCTGATACTAATCAACATATGCTCACTAGTGACTGGCTTCAAAATATATATCCTGGAGTTCTAGTGAGAAGCAGTGACCAGTGGAGTCCGACCGGGTCATTTGTAAGGTAGTAACTCACTGATGACTATTGTGGATGTGTCGCTCAATTTCATGGATTAGTTGAAGTTAAACATTAACACCATTGGATGCCGGCTCAGTTGTCTAGTTTGTTAAGCGCCTGGCACGAGACTGATAGGTCTTGGGTTCGAATCCCGTGAGGCGGGGTCGTGGATGCGCACTGCTGAGAAGTCCCATACTAGGACGAAACGGCCTTCCAGTACTTCCAGGTTTTCCATGGTGGTCTAGCTTCAATTGACTCATGATCTCAACTGTTGAAAAAAAGAACACTTCCATCCAGAAATAGAAAAGGACTGAAGGTTTATATCTGTAAATTTGTCTTATGTTTTTTGGACTATCCTAGTAGATTAGAATGTTCACTTTTTGGGTTTGCCTTCATCAAGTGCGTTGGTCAAACAATCAATTCTTATCAGTCAGTCGGTCATTCAGCAACAACGTAGTACTTCGTACGTATGTATATCAGTTCAAGTTGTCATATCACATTATCACGGAGATACAATTATCGATTCAAATCCCATAGTGGTAGAGGTAGTAAAAGTATAAGCAGTAATCGGGAAGATTAGGGTTTGAAGATGTTATTCAAGGAATAAATTTGGTGTATGTATGGTTTGTCCAGTAAATATGCGAATTAAGCTACAAAGTGTGTCAGTTATAAGCAACTAGTCTAACGATAAGTGTCATTGAGCTCTAACGCTAATCATCTAGATTCATTTCGATCTTGTCAACCTGTCATTATTCATCTGCTGATTGTTAAATTTTGAAAATCCCTTTAAAGTATGACTTTTACTCCATTAATACTCAGTTTTTTCCACGTGTTCCAGTCCTATGATTTATTCACTGCATTAGATCACCATCTCTACTTATCAAAATCAGGACTGATGTTTCATTTTATTCACAAAAATCCGAAATAGTCCTAAGGTGACTATATGGAGATGACGTTATATACAATGATGAGGGAGCACCTGAAAAAAAAGATCTTGGACGATTTTCATGTATATTTTGAACGATGGAAACGGACACAGGACACATATTTTCCCGTAGAATATCGAGTACTTTGAAGGAGATCAAATTAATGTATCCTAAACTCAATCAAGCATAGTTTATATGGTTTTAATCCATATATATGTGGTTAGTGATGATTTTTAAGATCACTACTCTTTTATTTCATAGGAGACTTGAACTGTCATCTATTCTCTGTTATTCCCTCTTTTTTCTAATGTAGGTAGTTAAGGAACAAAAATCTAAGCACACAAGTGAACAAAAAGCTCATCTTCTATTACAGCACAATTTAAAAGTAACGTTTTTACAATGAAATAGAGTGATATTTGTCGAAATTCATTGTGTTTTTGTTTTAATTATCTGTTGTGTATTGTCTTATTATTTCCACTAATTGAGATTCTTTTACGCTGTTAGTGGCCCAGGAGCCATGACCCTTCTACATTCCGCGTCATTTCTCTTCACTTCTCCGATATTTGATCTGGATCAAATATTGTATGAAATATGCGTATTCGAAATTCATTCTCTTATTTGACTTATTTAATTCCGTTATTGACTAACACGATTTAAGCCGATGATTATATACGAGGACTGACGATATGTATATCTCAATAGCAATCAGAAACGATCTCACTAGTGTCAGATCACGGACCACTAATGTGGTGAGCCCGACGTGATTCGAACACGCAACCTTCTGATCAAACTGGAGTCATTAAACGCTAAATGACCGATAACCCACACAGAATTCTAATCAGTTAACCAAAGTAAAGTATCAATGCAAAACGATTCTGTAACCAAATGAATGAATGATTTTCTAGCGAAAATCAAAGAGGCATTATCTGACTAGTTAGTTCGTAAAATGTAATACAGCTAAGTTAATATTTGTTTCAGGATTAGGGGTTTAATATTAGAATTTAGGAATATTTTCAATTCGCCTATTACACACAATCTGCAAAACCATCATTTGTCTTAACTATCATAGAATACATTAGTTTATTTCCACATTATCTTTATATATTTTACAGGAACGTATTGCAACTTTGGAAATGCATTTAGAAGAAGCACAAACACGAATTAGAAATCATGAAAATTTACGAAAGGTTATTGATTTTATACCTATGAATTGTATTCACGAACTATAGTCACTGTTCCTTAAAAACATTTTGGGATGCATAATTTGTTTGAGTTGGTATGCAGAATCCATCTAGGAGAGTTGAAAAACCCTGATTTCAAACCAACGGTTTACATGGACTCCAGTGTCCTGAAGGAACAAATAGCGTATGAACCAATCGTTGGTCACCGGCTACCATGTGACTGCATCCCCTGACGTTGTTCTACTTCATTGTGGATCAGATCTTTATGTCGAAGACTCCGGATGTGGCCCCCTAAGAAAACTACCTGCGTTGGTCTGGGCACCCGTGTATTATCATAGCCCACACAAAAATCAAGTGACTTGTGTGGCGCATATGTATTCAGTGCCCCTTTGTACCAATATTTATGCGTTCAAATAAACAAATTCGTCGTTGGACCTAAAGCGCCAATTATGAGATTACTTATACATTGTTCAGGAATTTTGGATCAATTATACAAGAAAAATACGTTCACCTCAATATTTCCTTATAATGTATAAATAAGCAATACAGATCAAACAAATAGAAGTATCTGTTCAACAATCATTTGTTATTAATCCATAATGAACAATCTATACTTAGGTTGAGACATGTTAACTATACTCAAACAGCTTTAGTTGATCATTCTAGTTAGTCCTTTTTCTAATTTATGTTGTTATATCTAGAGCTTAGATTCTTATTATAACGCGTACAACTAGAGCACTCGAACGCTAGAACACTTCTAAGTCGCAAATTAAGACAATTGAAAGGAATGCTATTCCAAATGTGGTATGAAACTGTCAGATATATATAGTTTTTAGTGAAAACGAAATCATCATTACAGTCCTCTAATCCGCATACATGGGGTTATTAGCATTTGTACAATAGGGAAGCTACACGTGGGGATTCGAGAATATTCTTCCAAAAAATGATTGAATAGAATATCTTCGGCTCTTTCTCAGCTTCTTAAGGCTTCCTCGAATTCATCCATGAAATGTCCTCACATATGTGAAATTTGATTCAGTGAAATTCCTTGATTTGTAATAATCATTATCTTGTCTGTTTGTTGATTATAGGAATTGAAACAACAAAAAGCTGAAATGACAGCTCAAGAATCAATTATTGCTGGATTAAAAGCTGAAAGACGTAATTGGAGTGAAGAATTGGCTAAGCAAGGTTAATATTACCATAGTCATTATTTGCTTTTTTTTTCGTTTTAATGTGTGATTAATTATTCTTTTGTTTTATTATAATGTTTGACAAGTTGAATTGATGCATAATTCTCCATATACTTTATTGTTCTCTCATTCTTCAAATACTGACGGGTAAGGTAAAAGATATTTGACTGTTCCCTCAACATCCAAAAGTACTAAACAAACATACTTAAACACTTCAAAGATCAGTGTGTTGTATCTATATGTCATTTTTTGAGAAATAGTAGTAATCAAACGGTAGTCACAACTAGGTCATGCATAGTATTTTTTTTCAAAATTCCAATTGAAGTAGTAATATTAAGCGATATTTGTTCTTCATATTTAAGAAAACCCTTGGTAAATCTAGTTTTACTGAACTTTCAGCTTATAATAACTGAATTTAGCTAACATTAAATCTCAGATTCAAAATAAATAGTCAAACAAATTAACGGATGATGGCGCAATTTCGTGGATTGGTTAAAGTTAGACATGAACACCGTTGAATCCCGGCTCAGTAGTCTAGATGTTAAGCGTTCGCGCGCAAGACTGATAGGTCCTGGGTTCGAATCTTACGTGTACGATCATGGATACGCACTGTTGAGGAGTTCTATACTAGAACGAAATGGCCATCCAGTGCTTCCGGGTTTTCCACGGTGGTCTAGCTTTAATCGACTCATGAATTCAACTATTAAATAACAAATAATAATTAAAATGATAACAAATTCTGTTATGATTCCAAGTTAATACGATTAACTTTTAGACTATATGATATAAATTTCTTTGTGCTAACTTGTGACCTTCTTCCATATTAATATGTTAGGTAATGATACCGCCAATTAAAGAACAGTCGTTTATCGACTGGACCAACGACACACAAAATTTATTCTCCTCATGGAAACAGTTAGATAATTACTGATTGTTTCATAATAGTTTATATTATCTCATTATTAAGAATCAATAATAATAAATTTTGGTGATTCTTTGTTGAAAACTACATCTGTTAGTGGGATATAAATTGGATTAATACATGTTCCATGTACAATTGTGTTGGTACACGTTGACTGGATGAGAATTAGCCAATCAGCACTAATCAATACTTGAAGAACACTAGAATCTTTTCATTTATAAATGGTATAAATATACTAACGTTTCTCTCATTACACCTTGTTATTTGGAATATAATCTCTTTCCTATTCAACCGTGTTTTGATTTGTGGACTTGTCTAGTGGATTGATGTACAAGAGTATTAAGCAATAGGAATAGCTGGGTTATGATAAAAGAGAGAATTATAACGACATCTTTCGTGGATTACTTTCTCTATCTAACAAGTCTTAAATGGTATAAAATATGCTTCCTGTATATATACCATTACCAACTATAGTCCAAATATGTATTCTTTTAGGAACAGTCCTCTATTTCTTTGATCCTGTTCTTTTAAACGAGCAAAAAGGAGCGTAAACTTGTAGGTTTCAGCTGTTCGAATGTATGTTTTCTTCTACTTTAACATGTACATTCCTACATTATTACAATAAATACCACTGGCATAATTTTTTTAATGTTAGGATCAGCTTTAGCTCAAGACCGTGGACGATTAGAAGCTAAAATTGAAGCTCAAGAATTAGAGATAGCCAGTCTTAAAAAATCTCTTGAAGTATGTTTCTTCTATTTTAACATAATTTAATATTGACTTTTTATTTATTTATTTAAACATATCAACGTTAGTACTAGGAGACACTAGATACATTTGCGCCACATAAATCATTCGATTTGCGTAAAGGCTGGGATACTGTCCGTGTGCCCAAACCGAACCAGGTGGTTTTCTTAGGGGGCCACACACGGAGCCTTTGACCTATAGGTCTAATCCATAAGGCAGTGAAACAAAGTTAGGAGATTCAGTCCCGTGATAGATGGTGACCAACGATTGTTTCATACGCTATTTGTTCCTTCAGGATCCTGGAGTCTATGTGCACCATTGGTTTGGAATCAGGGTTTTTCAACTCATCTAGATGGATCCTCTGTATCCACCAATCCGGTCAAAGCGCCGGACATTCGCTTTTCGTCCGAGATCACATATAAATCTCTTAATACTGAGTCAAGCTCTTATTCAGATTTCTCACCTTTTCTCTATTGTTCCAATTGACGTGCAAATCTAGTCTAGTATTAAGGGAAGTATTTATGAAAGACAGCAATAAACGTTCCATTAGTAGACCTATCAGTACTGACTTGGTTTTGTTACAATTTCCTAAAGAAACAGTTTGTATTCTATTGTTCAATTGTGTATTGTCATTACGATCGGTTATTATAAGCATACCGATCTACAATAAGCACTGAGTCTATAATCAATCTCACTAAATCTAAAGGAGAGACTCTAATTTATGGACGACCTTTGAACGAATCTTAAGCGACCTTCAGAAATATCAGTCAATCAGCAAACGGTCAGCATAGAGTAAAAAATTTTATACAAAACCAAGGAAATAAAGTGGATACACTTCATATACGTGGTTCAAAAACTTGTCAAGATTAGAAAGAGGTTCAGAGGTTCTAAAATCGTAATGCATGCAGTAGAGGAAATCATCCATACGGCTACAGAATAGTCGGCCTCTGGAGCCATGATAAATTCTCAAAAACTCTTTCAGCCTCGACCACATAGCTTCAATATTGTTTATGTGCACTCCTGTTGTTGAGTACACAAAATGCCACTTGTGGATAACGACACGATGCACATAATCAAGCCTATGTAGGAGTCTGTACGCTCTCCAAACATCCGTATATATTGTAGTACCTGGCTGCAGCCAGTGTTACTGGTTCTTTTATTATCCAGTTCGCAATAATTGTCGTGATTTGCCTTAGTTAGGAATTATATATGGGGTTTTCATCACGAACTGACATCAGCTATAATGCCAGAAATTTATTTAGCCAAATGGATGAAAGGCTTTCGCGTTAAAATCCGAGATCTTATACCTGATTGATTCGTCCACAAATTATAGGCTAGCAGTTTTATTTGATATAGCCGCTCAATTATCACGTTTTCTACGAAATTCCCTGTGGACCGATCGTACGTTAGCATTAAGCACTAAAGTTGGCGCCGTAACCTTGGCATCTCTAAAACGCCTCTGATTGGCTCGTCCATAAATTAGAGTCTCGCCAATCTAAACTTAAATTCTATATCGTTGTTAATAAGTAAGACAATAACTGTTAGTGACTTATCATTAAGTACCATATGGTTAATCAGTACAATTCTCCATTCATATGTGATATCTTCCGTTACTGGTAAGTGATTTAATATCTTGATTAATAAACAACTGAATATGTAACCACTTTAAATCACAGTACAAATTGATATCATCAGAGTATATCAATAATGATTACATCTAATTCGTCTTTAGAATGAAAATGACTCTGTTAAAATCAAGAGTAAAGTAATTGATGATCAAACAGAGACAATATTGAACTTAAAAAAGGTAAGTTTCCGTAAAATTTAAGTAGTACCATTGAAAAACTTGGAAGCAGTGGACAGTTGTTTCATCTTGATATCAGACTCCTCAACAGTGCCCACCCACACGACCTTCGATCTCATGCGCGAACGCTCAACCTCTAGATCATTGAACAGGGATCTAATGGTGTACAAGTCTAATTTCAATCAATCCGCGATACTGCGCAACCACTGACTTTGGTGGATACCTACCTCAAACCCGACAACTCCACTGGCCATGATTATTCACTAGAACTTCGTAAATTTTCTCTCTTAGTTAGCTTTAAAATGGTTAGGGTCCTGGGTTCTATCTCTAGAGAAGGAGTTGTGGATGCACAAAACAACTGTTCATTACTTCCAGATTTTCAATGGTGGTATAACTTAGATCGGTTAGTCATCTCTGTAACATTCAACTATCTCTACAATGCCATACTGATAATCAATTATTTTATTAATACTTAACCATCATATGTTATGAGTATCCTTTTTATGAGGGAGCGATGAACTCATGAAGTCACTGAAATGAAAAATGTAATCTAACTGATGATTTACTCATTGAGAATTCAGTCACTAAATCCCCAGCAAATACATTCCAATAGACAATCACCAACCAACTGATTATATATATTTTGTTACATTCTTGTTTATTTTACGGTAGCTTCTACTGTTTAAGAAATACTCATTGGAAAATTGACTATACAACTCTTGTTAAAAGGTTAACAACTAGTTAATGTGCGACAAACTTACTGTCAGACTTTTGAAGATAGTCAGTGGAAATCCTCAAATCTGGATTGTATACTAGTTAGCAATTGTGAGCAAGATAAACCTGAAATCCTTGTGAATCTGCTGCCTTCTCCTCCAAGATCCGAACCCAGTATCATAGACGGACGCTATCACTGAATGTATATCATAGTGATATGGAAACCACAGAAAAAAGTTGATAGTTGAGACCTAACTGATATAAAATTACAAGTTGAAGACAAAGAGCTCTTTCTAGTAGAATTTATGTAGTTGGAACTTTGAACATGTTTCATAGCAGTACTTTAGTTACTCTGAAACTAGTATCAATAAAGCTTATAACTTCAGTAAAGGAGACATTCTACTGCGTATTAACGATAAATTAGGGATTGAGGAAAATTATTTCGATATTTTCTTCCAAAAAAATGAATATTTCTTCATTTTTATCAGATAATCTGTATTCAACCAACCAAAATCTGTCTAGAGATCGTTTAAGAACAAAGAAGAAAATGATCGTACCAAATCTGAAGAACGCACGATTGATCTTAGTTCTGTAAATAACTCATGACCGTTCAAAGCTATAGGTACAAGGTTAAAGTCTTAGTGTGAATATTAAGACTGAGATGCAGACACGTCCAGCTAATGATTTTCAAATAGGATAAAATGTGAACCCTGAATTCTACTGCTAGCTACAATTAACTTGATTATTCCGAACATAGTGATCACCAACTTCAGTAACGACTGAAGATATTTGACTTTGAATTACAACATGTGAATGCATTATGGATTCTATTTCGTAATAAACCTTGATCACGATCTCTACTGGAAAAGCTTAGAAGTATTGTACAGTGGAATCTTTAAAAATATTCTAGTTAATATCAGAAGGGGTTTTGTTGAGATTGTAGTGATTTCAATAGTTGAGACTATGAGTCAGTTGAAGCTAGACCATCATGGTTAAGCGCTCGTGTGCGTAAATCTTTCTCGGAATATTTATTAGTAGGAGCTAAAGTATAATGCATTAGCCAACCAACTACTGCACATCGATACATTTATAAAACCTTTGAAAGTAGAGAACTTAAATATAACATATATATACATATAGTAGTAGTATTGTAGTGAACAAGAACACCAGTGGGGACAATCGAATGTACCTAACACAAAATTACAGGACTTGTTCATAAAATCTAACAATCCAATAGTAAATACTTAATTTGCAAAATGTCCACCAGTTGTCTTAAAATGACTCAGACTTCATTGTTCTTGCATTTTCATACAAATTGCATTCTGTTCCCATTCTTTACTGTTCGATCGTCTTGTCTCTCTGCTGCCAGACCTTCTGTTCACGAATAACATCATATACTACTTATGTCAATATAAGTAGCACACACCGCAGTATAACTAACCAATAGGAATAATCGTCTTCAACACAAAGAGTTACTTCCATAAAGAATAGATGTCTTGGATTCAACAAAACATGAATGACAAACTGCTTTGTTATAAAAAATAATTTTATTTATTTATTTATTTAGTGTATTCAAGAGAATCAGACTGAAATGAAACGACTACAGAATGAAGGTATACAAAATCGTCATAATTTAGAAAGTCAATTAAAACAGAAAATTCAAGTCAATACAGAATTGGATGTAAGTTGAATACTTTAAATTGATGTTTATTCACATTTCCTTTGGACTGTTAATCTAATAGGTTTTGATAAATATGAGCCCTTGTTTTTAATGTAAAGAGGTCTACTATCCATTTTCCATCTTCGAAATGATGATCAAAAATTGATTTTATAGTTGAATTCATAAGTTAATTGAAGTTAGATCACCATAGAAAACCTGAAAGCACTGGGTTGTCCACTTTCCTCATTTTTTCCCTTTTTTATAGACATTCTTTTAGAGATAATAATCACTGTATAACTTTCTAGGGGATTATTTCCTACCAGATTTTCATTACAATTAAGGATACGCCGGCAACATAGCACTATTCAGTGAGGACGGTGAGAAAATGCAATCTTTAGACCATCATATACAACAATGCAAATATGTTTCGGATGCGTTTCTCCCCATATAAAATTAAAATGTTGCTTCAGGATTGGTTTGCGTCAACACCTGAAGTAATAATAGGGAGTGAAGTAGTTCACCGCTTTAACCACTTTACTTATCTAGGAATTCTCATTATTGTCTGACAAAATCTCAGTTGACTTTTATGAACTTGAGCCACTCGTGGACTGGACGAGGTAGCCATTTCCAAAATAAAGAATGAGTTTACTGTGCTGGAGCAGTGTGCATTAAATCATCTCTTGGGTGAATCTCAAGCTTGAAAGAGAACAAACTGTGTTGGAGCTAACTTGATTGCTTGCATTGAAATATATCATACATCAACTTTAGAAATGAGTATAAGTTGCTTATACTGAGGGACACTTTTCAGTTCATTATAAATTGTTCAAATTCGGTAAACACTGATCTTCTACTCTTCAAATTATATGCTTTTGTAAACCGAACTGTTAAATATAAAATTACATGGTCTCTCCGATGAGTACATGAGTCAAGGTACTAAACAAGTTAGCTACAAGAATGAATAAACAGACAATCAACATATCGGACATGACCACTAAATTCCCTGGTACGGTCAAGAGTGGTGGGAGTCATCTCTTCCTCTCCAAATGCCCTCACAAAGCCACGCATATACAGCCACTCACAGGGAAGTCCTGCTCACTCCCTTATCGCGACGGCGGTGTTGTTTACGAAATTAAGAGTACCAAAAGCGAATGTCCGGCGCTTTAACCAGGTTGATGGACACGAAGAGTTCACCTAGGTGAGTTGGAAAACCCTGATTCCAAACCAATGGGCTCCAGTATCCTGAAGGAACAAATAGCGTATGAACCAATAATTGGTCACCGGCTACCATGTGATTGCATCTCCTGACGTTGTTCCACTGCCTTGTGGACCAGACCTTTAGGTCGAAGGCTCCGAGTGTGGCCTTTTAAGAAAACCACCTGCTTCAGTCTGAGCACCCGAACAGTATCACAGCCTAAACACAAATCAAGTAACTTGTGTGGTGCATATGTATTCGGTGCCCGCTTGTATCAATATATATGTGTTCAAATAAATAAATGAATAAATAAAACATGACCACCTTGCTGTTTCTTCTAGCTTTCAAAATGCAAAATGATCATGAGGTACCAGGACAATATGGAGATCATTTAACTTGGAACAGCGATAGGACACCTGAAGAGCCAAATGTATTTCGACAATATAACATTAATATATTTATATGAACATTTTCAGCGCTAAACAGAAACTGATTTCCGATTATATAAAAGATATATGTGAAAGTTACATTTTAATGGTCCTAATGATTGAAATTTGAGTCATTTTAACATTATTATCAAAATCTTCAATTATTTTACTGGAAAAGTTCAAACTAGTTTGTCAGACGGAATGTTCAAATTATTTTAATCGTTTTGTTCGTTGTGATTAGTCAAATATAATTTTTATTGATTGATACCATGAACCATCATTGAAAACCTGAAAGCACTGTACGGCCATTTCGTACTATTGTGGGACTCCTCCTTAGCAGTGGACATCCACGATACCACCTCGCGAGATTCGAACCCAAGGCCTTGAATGACATGGCTCAAAATCGTTTGCAATGGCGCAGGTGTTCTCCCAAATTCTAATCTCAGTTCTCCTTGTTCCTTTTTTTTCTTTCCAAATTTATTTCACTGGATTATACTCCTTGAATCACATGTTCCAACCCTAATCTTTCCGATTACTGCCTATACTCTTACTACCTCTACGACTACGGGATTTGAATCGATAACTACATCTCTGTGCTAATATGGTATGGCAACTTGAACTGATTTACATACGTACGAAATTCTACGTTGTTACTGACTCAGTCAGTCAGTCAGCTACAACGTAGGACCAGGCACATATATGCATCGGTCCAAGTTGCCATACCTCATTAACACAACAACAAGATGAACACCGGATTCATAAAAGTAGTTAATTCAGAGGTGGTAATATATAAAAGAAAGATTGCATATAAGGATATAGTACAGGAAAAAAGAATTAGTTCGTAGAAAGATATGAAGCGAGTTCAATCTCTTAGTTTAAGGGAAGACAGAGTGTATACACCGACGCCATTGTGATCGATTCTGAGCCATGTCACCCAGAGTCTCCAACCATTTGTTACGATAGTCACGCGGACTCCAACCAAGTAGTCTGCATCTACTAACATGGCTCAGACTAGAAGTTAGTGACTTTGTGGACTGATGCCACATTTTGGTATGGCCACCCGTAACTTTTTTCCAACCATCTCCAACACCGGTTAGCATTGCACGTCGTGGTAATCGGTGTTACTGACTGACCTATACTTATCATTTTTATGTGTAGGATTAATCTACTGTAGAATTTTGTAAAATGAAGATTTTATGACTGCACTTATTCTATCTAAATTTCTTCATTTATCTTTTATATTAGGATGAAATAAAACGTCTTAATAAACGTAAAGAAGATTTAAAATTATTGGTCGGTGATTTACAATCAAAAATAGATGAATTACAAGAGCAAAATGAGTAATTTCTTTTATAAAGTTATATGATATTTAATATTATATAGAAAACAGTTAGTAATGAGTAGTGAATATTATGTAATAGTTGTTGAAAGCACTTTGATGAAGTTTTGTTCTCTGAGCTGGATGGTTTGGTCGTGGAGCTTTCATCGTTCTTCTGAACGACATCATCAACACAAACTTCAGATAGATGTAGTAGTTGAAAGTACCGTTTTCATCTTCTAGTCTGTTTGCTCTTTATTGTAGATAAGTTGTTTTGATGTTTACTTATTGTTACAGTATTGGAAAGGATCCATCTTTTATTCTGTACAAGATGATTTGTGAGGATTCTGTTATAACTTTAAGCCTGACTAATTATCATGTGATTTATTCGCCATTGTGTAAAACGAACGACGTTCGATCGGTATGAACAGCCTAGCATCCCCTTATTAAACCTTTGTTTGCCTAGCTTGTTCAGTTTAGTTCATAATGTTAATACCAGCTTCCACTATACGAACTATTTATTTCAAACCTACTTGACTTATATACCAGGCAAACAGACAGCATCACACCTTAAAATAGGAAATATCATTTGTACAAGTTCAAGCCAAAAGGTGGCTGTGAACGTGAGAGACGGTAGTTTATAAACCGAACATAATTTAGGAACAATAAATCGTATAATAATAATGTATAGGTCAAAATGAAGCTTATAATAAGGAGAATATAGATATACATAATCTAGTTACTGAATAGCTATACAATAAGAATAAATATAGAATATTAGTCCATTAATAAGTCTCGGAAGTTACCCGTAATTTAATCTTCACTATGATATAACACCTCCTCTTTTCTGAAGATTCGAAGTTTAGATCCTGATTTTTTAAAAATATCTGTAACTTTAAATTCCTTCACGTTGTCCTCCCCCCCCCCCACGAAATAATGTTGGATCCTTATATCACCAAGTTACAATTAATATGACTCTATTTAGAATATATTTCTCGTATTGAATAGAGAATCCAATAGAAATGATTAGATGGTGATAAAGGATATTTGATTTGAGGTCATCAGCGTTTGATTCCTCTGAAACATAACAAACACACTGTACTGATGACTCCCAGAATAAAAAATAATCCTCATATACTGACAGTTGAAAAGGCTGTTTTATCTCATAGAATCCAAGTTATATAGTTTTTTTATACAAACTTTTCTCAACCAGTGTTTTACAGCTCACACTTTGCTGTTAAACCAATGTACAATCTTTAAGCTCTTCTTCACTTGAGAATGAAACGAATTAATTTTCTTTTATATATCTCTACTTGTTTAATATGTAAACTCAAATGAATGGTGAGTTTTCATCTTTATCTTTATGATTTCATTGTTTATCTCTCACATTACTGTTTATTGGTTCTGATCGTCGTACATCCACAAGAACTGAATGAATTACAAAACGGTTTTATGTGGAATTTCTCCTGTCCAATATATTTTCGCATAACTTGAAATAATTTTATCACTGATGGTTTGTTTGTTGTTAATGAATGTGTTACAGTAACAGTTATTACTTGTGACGTATGAGTACCATGTGATGGATGTATATTTTTATTGATTATGCTGTTTATATTATATGAAAATATACTGAAATATCTAATTATTTTAGTCTTTACTTAAAGCTTCGATCTGGGCACCCAAGTAGTATCCCAGCTCTCATACATATCGAATGATTTATGTGGCGCATATCTGTTTGGTGCCTCCTTAAACCAATGTTTATGAGTTGGAATAAAACAATAAAGCATAAAAGCTCCCCCCGTTATCTTTCAACTTCTTTCTCCTAACTTGTGTGCATTCTATATGGTTGATTTATTATTGTGTATTAGTCATCAATCTGTCTAGCCTTATTTAAACCAGTACTGTATTAGAAGTAGTTCTCAGTATTTTTTGCTTTGTATTCACCAATTACAAATTGTAACAGTAGTAGTGTTTAAAGATCACTAATATTTTATTTAGTCCAACATGACATTTCCTAGTCTTAATTCAGCTAATTTTGTAGAAAATGCTATCCGTGTATATTGTTCTATTTAGAATGATTTTTCTAAATAAGGCTAATCTCTTTTTTACACAGATTGTCACTGAATTACGATGAAAGCTTAGAGTTGGGATGAATCTGATTATGTCTGTACTCAAATCTACAACAATATGTAACTAGAATTAGTCTGCATTACGACAACACTTTTTTTAATTGAAATATTAACCAACGTAGAGAAGATGATATCTATTCTCTTTTGATATGCATATGTCATCAAAATGGACAACAAACTTTATGAAACATTTGAATAATTCATGTGAAACGAAAATGTTGTAAGAATGATCAGTGAATTGGTTGTTAAACCATCTAACTGTTAATCAACAGACCACAAGTTTAAAGGCTAGTCTAACGACTTCATTATAGAAAATAGTATCACTAACTCTCATTCAACAAACAATGTGGCTTAAAGCTGAGTAGACAGACTTACAAACGTTAAATGAGTACCACAACAATAATAGAACAATATAACGAGTTTATTATTGAATCAAGGATATCAGCTCGAACAAAAATTTTTAACTATATATGTATGTACTGTTTGATAACAAATTCCTGCTTCGGTTTGGGCACCCGGGCAGTATCACAGTCCTCACACATATCGAATGAGATTTGTGTGGCGCATATGTATTTGTTGCCTCTTTGTACCAATATCTATGTGTTGAAATAAATAAATAATGATAACAAATTCGTTGAAAAGCGATCCCATCGCTGAACTACGTGTTTTTAATGTTCAAAAAGGGGAATTATATACCAACCGGAAATAAGTGATGAACTTACATCTGTTTAGTGATGTTTAGTGATGACTTTATAATTTATAGGACGATAAACAAACCATACCTATCCCTAATCAACCATTCTAAGTTATTAGTTGTTTCTAGCTAATGTTGTCCAATGATAAGTTCTTTTCGACGTTTACATCTTTCTAAATTCCTTGAAAATACAGTATTTCCTTTCGGATTTTTTTAAACCATAGATCTATGTCACAGCGTTGGCGCGATCGTGCAAGTTTAATCGATAAATTAGAAAAACAAGTAGAACAAATGCGTCATAACTGGGATGAAGAACAAAAAGTTCTTATTGACGAACGAGATACAGCACGAAAAGAAATCAGGTGAGTTTATTTCATATATTTTGACTGGATTCTTGTATATGTTTTAGTTAGAATTACGTATTTTATCATGTAAAATAAACTGCGTCCCCAAAGCGAACCTACATGTACATACAGAACCGATGGACGTTAGAAATGTAAACCAACCATCAGACACATTGATGCGTTATTTAAACCAGGAATTATACGGGAATCGGCTGTGAAATTAGTCACTATGACCCTCTTGGCAGTGTTAAGAACATCCTCACAGAAGAGCATTACGAAAGTGTCTTGACATAACGAAATTTAATCTAAATTCTTTTCGTTTTCATCTTCATTTCTTCGCCAGCAAAATACACACCGGAGGCTTACTTATTTGATAAATATGTTAGTTTGCTTATGATTTTAAACAAACTATTTGCATCGATGCACACATGTCACTTAATTTATGTTCTTTTTTACAAGTACATTACATTCACAAATGCAAGCTATGGACGAGAGATTTCGTCAACAGCTATCGTCTACTGAAGAAATGAACGATTTGGCAATGAACCGTGTGAAGAATGAAGCAGAACAATTACGTATAGCTTGTGAAACACGTGTAGCTGAAGTAAGTTCACTTTTTCCTAAGGGAAAACTTCGGCTTAGAATATGGGAAAAGGTCAGATTGTTTTAACGATTTCTCGAGGATTTCTTCGTAGCTTAAAATATAAATATTTAAATTATATCATCAACCCGACTACGTTTTCTGATTTGGGAACACTTGAAGTTAACGTCTATTCAGATTAAACAGCAGATAGAAACAACTTACTAAGTACAAGTCTGTGTACTCGACTTTAAGCTACACTTAAGAAGTGAATGTTGATGACATTCAGTCAGTTGCAACGTAGGACCAGGCACATATATGCGGCATTAGCATAACAAGATGAACACCAAATTCATAGTACTTACTTCAAAGGCAGTAATATATGAAAGATGGCATATGAGTATGGTTGCTTGCACCAAATTAGGTGAAGTAGCAACTTAACTGAGTACTTTAATCCTAAGAATTAAACAGTACCATAACTAGTTTCCCACTGTGTATGAAAACTGACCACTTCTTATGAATTCAAGAGTAATGTTGGGTTTTTTTTAATAACATTATTTAGATATAAGTATCACCCAAAACAATAGGACAGATTGGAGGAAAGAACCAGTATCAAGATTAAGTAAACTGACTGACCAAAAAACTTTACAGAAAAAAGGTTTGGACGTACAAAACCAGTCGTGGGTTCTAAATTATAATCAGAGTGAAAATAATAACTAGGAACATTATCTTTAAAGACAAAAGTCAATTTTCCAACCATGAATACTTAAAACTTACATAGCTCTGAGAAGTGAATGATCAACAAATCTTCGTAAATCTTAAGTATTTCTAGACAGGTTGATTAGATTAAATAATAGTCCCTTATCCTTATAAAACCATGCAGGAATGAACTCTTGCAAAGAAGATAAAGGAAAACTCTGGCTATGGTTGATATGTGTAGCTCCAGAGAAGGTTTAAATGTATACAGCGGTGTTTCAAATGGAGTAAATCTTTTATAGAACATATAAGAAGGTTAATCGAAGCTTGGCTCCAGAAGATAATATTTATCACATTTACTTTTTAACTGAACAGATGATTCTATTTTTAGTTAGATTATCAAGGATCTTAATATTGAACTCCAGAATACGATATTTAATTCCTCGGACATTACAACTCCTTATTTTAGTCTCTAAAAGTGTAATAGAACAACCTGAACCAACACACTTTTAAGGTGACCTCTATATTTCGTAATTTTAATTTTCTTCGAACATCTAGAGCTAATTAGACAGTAGTTTTATCATGTTGACAAGAAAATTCTTTACTTTCATCCTACTTTTAAACAGGTGGAATCAGAAATGCGTACAATTCTTCTAGAAGCAGAAAATTCAAGAAAAGCTACACAAGAAAGACTTAGATGTATATCAGCAGCATTATGTGCTCCAATCTCACCGCATAGCAAAATCCATTGCATTAACACCTAACTGGTGTTTTTTTTTCAAATACTTAGGGGAAAAACACTGCGAACGGATTCACAAAACTACATGAATCTTTGGCCTGAAAAAATGCTGGGCTGATTGGAATTAGTTTGTTAAAACAGTACTTAAAAATTCCTTTTTGGATTGATTCATCTCTATGGTTCGGTTGTGCGATTTGTTTTCTGCTATTTTTAAACAACATTATTAACCTCATATGTAAATAACTGGCGGATAACTAAAGTGTATATAAATAACCAGTTTATTAATTATAGACTATCAGTCAGTCAGTAACAACATAGAACTTCGTACGTTTGTACATCAGTTCGAGTTGCCAAACCACATTAGCACGGAGATACAATAGTCGATTCAAATCACATAGTGGTAGAGGTAGTAAAAGTATAAGCAGTTTTCGGGAAGATTAGGGTCTGAAGATTTTAAAGAGTATTATCAAGTGAAATAATTTGGAAAGCGAAAAAGAGACAAGGAGGATTCAGGAGATTAGAATTTGGGAGAACACAAAGAGTGGTTGCACCTGCGCCAATGCAAACGATTCCGAGCAATGTCTTTCAGGGTCTCTAACCATCGGTTGCTATCATCTCGCAATCCCCAACCAGGCAGTCTACACCTACCAAAATGGCTCAGTCCACTTGTCGGTAACTTCATGGACTTGTGCCATGTTTTGGTCTGACCGCCCCTACCTTTCTTCCGACCTACTCCTATACCACTGGACATCGCACGTCGAGGCAGTCGGTCGTTGGGCATACGTAACACGTGTCCCAGCCATCTCAACTGATGAAGTTTCACTAGGTCATCAATTGATCTGCCATCCTTACCTAGTACCCGTTTCCTAACAACTGCGTTACTTACTCGGTGGCCCCAGGATATACGATCAATGTTTCGAAGACACCTATGATCAAATACTAGTAACCTACGGATATCCTCTACTCTTACCAGCCATGTTTCACTGCCATAAAGTAGGACGGAACGAACTGCTGCGCAGTAAACACGTCCTTTTGTTTGATAGACGGACATTTCGCCTACGCCATAAATGATGCAAGTTGGCAAAAGCTAGTCGAGCCAACTTGCGTCATTATAGACTTTGATGGGTCGGAGACCTAAAGATCATTCTTAATACAAATTATTGGTTGAGAAAACACCAAAACAAACATTAATTAACGTAGTCTCTTGTGCAGTATAAATGCTATTTCTAACTTATGAATGCTGGAAAGACTAATTTGTACTAATGCAACGGCCTTGTTCGAATAGTGGATGCTTCAGTAAGTAGTTTGGAGCGTGGTTTCCGGTAGTTAAAAATAGCACAAGTTCGAAACGCTAGCATTGGTGGGATGTGAAGGAAAGCGTGGCGAAGAAATATCCGTTAGCACTCAGAAATTACAACTACCCGCATATACTGTTGATACACGTGGACACGATAAGATTTAATAGCGTACTATGATCCTTTAGCCGGTTGTAACATGAGAACTAATTCTTATTGAGTTATAGAACTACCAGTTAAACAATACTCAAATTACTTGTCAAGTTTCATTTACTTTAAGATAAGTTGACGTCAACGAATAATATTAGCGATGATAGGATCACATGGTCAACCAGTGCTATATGACCGCGTTAGACGAAGCTAACATAAGTAAATCGACGAAAACCCCGGCGATTAAAGTACATAGCAACTAAGTATGCGATTTGGCAAACACTAGATAACATTTAAAACTAGAAAACTGGAGCGAAGAAATTTTTTCCATGAATTCGCTATCAACTTCGGTAGTGTTAGGCCCATAATTATTGGGTCGAATGTATGAAGCCATTCAAGCCTGCATCGTGTAGAGTTCCAAGCTCACTAGATTCATCAGCACAAACCTCAGGTAGACGTGCTTATGATGTCGTCGAGAAAAACGGTGAGAACTCGACGACCATACTATCCAGCTCAGAGAACAAAACTTCATCAAGATAATCCGAGCTACTAACCCCCACCATCTCACTAGATTCAGTTTGAGAAAACCAGAATGAAGCTTCTAAATTACGTCAATACCCAAACATTTTCACTACGGACCGAAAAGAGGCAGTGACAGGATATCATCAACTATCCACAGTCAAATACGTTATTACAGCAAATAAATATCGGAAATACATCCCATTCCTTATAAGTCACAATGATGTGGCAGCGCGTCCTTCAGTATACGCGGAATTTATTTCAACCCCGATAGTTATATGGAACACTCACAAGTACCATGCAGTTTTGTTGTCGAATATATTAACGATTGCTTTCTTTTCTCCAACTACCTGCGTCACCTAAATCTGTTGGTGCCAGAATACATACAACAGCCAAAAGTTTGTACGTTGTGCCAAAAAAAACCGATGAAGAGTGAGTTAGCAAGCTATACCTATATCTATCAAAGTAAGCCAGTAAATTTTTATTAAGCTCTTTTGAAATGGTCACGCAGCGTAATTAGTCTACCTACCTATCAGCATACGCACAAGGTGCCTTGTCAAAAACATATAAATGCCATCTACTTCAGGATTAATTACTTATATTGATTGTATTGACAAGAAACGTCCGAGCCAAGTTAAACCATACATTTATTCTCAGGACTGTACAGAATTAAGAGTCCTTCTTTGATTTCTTTGCTTTAGTTCCTCGAATCTTCTTGGCTTTATTCTTTCTTTCCTTCTTTAACTTTCTTCCTTTTGGTGGAATTGTCACTAGTTTATTCTACAAAATTTCGCTTGATAATACGTTGTCTTACCCTGGCAAGACGATATTTCATTTCGAACTTCTTAGCATGATCCAGAGAATCGTAAACAAGAGCAAAGCCTGTTGACTTGCCACCTCCAAACTGAGTCCGGAAACCATACGCGAAAACGACATCTGGGGAAGTTTTATAGGTCTTAGCAAGCTTTTCTCGAATTTCATTTCTTGAAAGGACGCAACGTCCAGGGTGTAATATGTCAACGACCATTTGCTTGCGACATAGCAAGCGATTAGACATAAACTTCCTCGTTCGGATTAATGTGTTTTCACTCTGCACAAAGAAAAATTAGGAATCAATTGATGTCCCAAACAGGGTCATGAACGGTATGACCCAACCTACCATGTTTAGCAACCACGGTTGCCTACCAAATGTGCCACCACGAAAACAAATCTGTTCAAACAAACAGGATTTTTTTGAATGATATGTTACTCACTACTTGTTAACCACGTCATAATTCGTGTTCATAAGAACTCGTTATAGTAACTACGTGATTTCGACAGGGGATTTACACTAACAAATAACGTAATGAGAATTTATTTTCCTCAATATCTGATGTCTTTATGTCGGTGCTGTATTGAAATAATCTACAAACCAACTAAAAGTATATCTGGTGGTTATTTCCTTCGTCATGTTGAGGAAGACAAACTTTTAGCAATCTGATTTTCGAGCCAATCACTCGCTTTTGAATGACTTTAATAAAAGATAATAAAACCAGGCTTCAGTTTCAGTTTTCAGCTTCAGTTTGGGAAGGACAGGAGGCCTGATGGCCTGTGTTGGTCCTGGTAATGGTGGTCCCTCAGTTGATCCAACTTTCTTTTGAAAGAGTCGACGGATGGAGCCTCAACCACGTCCTGAGGTAATTGGTTCCACTCGTTGATGATTCGATGGGAAAGTCGATAGTCAACTGACAAGGAATTTGTTCTTGGCTTGTGAACTTTTTTGGAGTGTCCTCGTAGATTCTCTGTTTTGGAAAACAAGAAAAATGAGGGCATATCAGGTGCAAATTCGGCACTAAGCAATTTGAAAACTGTAATCAAGTCGCCTCTAGTTCTGCGATATGACAACGGGAAAAGGTTCAGCTTGGCCAGTCGAGCTTCATACGGAAGCTTGGCTATTCCGGGTAAAGCTCGAGTGGCCAAGCTGAACCTCCTTCTCGTCTTCCGAAACAGAGAATTTACGAGGACGCTCCAAAAAAGTTCACAGTAATCCGAAGGTTTTATGTTCACTACTCCTGATTCCTTTCAGTTAGTAACCTTGGGCAAGTAAGTTTTCCTAATTATTTATTTGTGATCTATCTCTAGGATTCATTTTTACTATCATCTGTGTTTTCATCCAACAATAAGCGCCCAATCTTCTTGCTATTCTATCTCACCATCAGTGTTTATGCGCAAAAGACCAATATTTCTTTTCTTTTAGTGAGAGTCATCTCCCATACTTCACACACACAGATTTTTAGAGACACATGGCTAGACGAGGATTGAAAATCACAAGAGTAATACACCATTCCCCAGACCCGGTTCTGTTTAGGTTAAAACATGAGGTTAGCGAACAAGACGAAGAACTACTGCATCCACTGGCTTTATCGTTTTTACTTATCGTGTTGTTGTACCTCAGATCAGCTTTGACCATTCAATCGTTGAGTGATAATTGCATGCTATTGTCCTATAAATGACTTATTTGGAAGAAATGGGATTTAATATATCGACCAATCTAACGTCTTAATGTGGATATATGTGAGTTTCAGCATATATACAATACAATACATTCTTTAGTATTCTCCATCTCTCCTCTTGAGTTGTCGGGTTGACGTTTAGAAGTAGTGTGTATCAGTGTAAACTATCGGACACCGTGTCATAACAACCACAACATTATGCTTGGCAGTTAAGAAATTCATTATCAAAATGTAACTGTAGATCAATAAAGTACCTCGCTTTTAATGCAGGCCTCGTACTCCTCACTAGGCGAATTCATCTATATTTTGGACGGCTGACCACTTTATGTCATTTGGTTTACTAAAATTCACCAATGTGATTGATGGTTGAGCAATCACGTCATTTGCACTTAACCCCAGTAAGCTGAAATATGGATTCGTGGTTTCAAACGACAACTAAACAACTTTATTCGCTGCTTTTCTCACATACTATGGCTTTCCACACTGCCTTCTGCTTTATTTTGCTCATCCTATTATAAGCTTATTGCTTGATGCTCACATGCGTCGTCCTAGGGTAGTAATGACAAGCA